GGACATTTGGCCAGGATGCCGGGGTTACACCCCTGCTCTTTTCGAGAAACGCCCTGGGAAAATGGTACAGTAGGTGTTCCCCTGCTCTTCCAGCTCCTTCTACTGTATATACAACAATATCAAACTAAAACCACACAGCTAGTGTGGATACAGAGGAGAAATGTACTCTATTGGTTAAAAAATGTATGCTTAGCAGATGCTTAAAGGAGGTCAGGGACTGATATCTGTGGTCATGTGGTTCCTGTCCACCAATGAGAAGTGAGGACAGGGTCCTGGAATTACAGGAGAGGTACAGAGGTATTTAAAGGGAGTAAAGGGATAGATAAGATTACTGAAGCTATTGAAGATACAGTAGGTTGGAGTACAGTAGTTGAGCCAGCAAGAGGTGTGAACTAGAGTTTTATTTCAGCTGAAAAGGGACTAGAACAGTGAAGTAGCCTGAGGAAAGAGAAAAGATGGGGTGGATTGGAGAATTCTCAATGAGTTGGCATGGGTAGACAATGCTGGTGGCGTGGCTATCCAAGAAGGAGTTGCAAAAGTCAAGGCCAGAGAGTATCAGACCGTGGACAAGGAGTGGAGTAGAAAAACTGGTAGTGAAGGGGTGGATTCTGCAAATGTTGCTCAAGAAGGACTTGCAGGAGCATCCCAGAGAAGAAATGTTTTGGGAGTTGGAGAGGCAGAGATCGAGAGTGACACTGAGGTGGAGGGCAAATTGAGTATTTAAAAAGAAGTTCTGTAGGAGGACAAAATATAATATCCCTCACTTCCGCTCTCCTATGCATAAACATCTCTCCTGCTGATCAGCCCTTTGTGCTTTTTTCTCAAACCTCTCTCTGCACAACTATACAACTATCTTCACCCTTACAGCAGCTCCCTGGCTCGTTCCTCTTCCTCAGGGGCTGGCTGCTGTCCCCTCAGTCAGGAATGTCATGCCAAATAAACCTACAATACATTTCTTTTCTCTGTTGTATCACTTAGGATTTGGCCAAACTGCTGAACAAGGTGGCGGTGAAGACCAGAGAAGAAATAGGAGGTCAGGAACCGAGAGGCCAAGTTGACATTGAGAGTGCATCCAGGAGGAGACACAAGTAGCATGGCGGGGAAAGGAGGGAACATTTCGAGCATCAACATCATTCAAATGACAGAAAAAACCCATGGGAAGAGAACAGGGGCAGGGTTTCAGTAACAGAGAGGAGACTCAGATGTAGGAAGATAAGTGGAAAGTGCCACAAGAGGAAAGCAGAGAGCTGTTGGTGCATTCAAGTGGTTTAGAGAGGAAGGGAGATCTGAAGGGATGAGGAGAGACTTTTCTAAAGAGAGCTGTAGTGGTTGAAAAATAAAACTTCCAGAGAGTAAAAGTATTAATAATGATTTTTTTATACAATCAGAGGCTTCCTAATAGAAAAACTACAACAATTATTTTGTATTTTATTTAACTTGATAGTAGGTGCGCAAGTATTGTACTATGTTGTGGCATCATTAAGTATGAAGCCATTTTCTGTCATTTTGTACTAACCATTAATATAGCAAAGAAACTGAGATGACTGCAGTCGCAGATGAATGTATTACTCGTTTTGCTGGTTTCACATCCTTCTTCACTCCAGCTTCCTTCAGCTTCCAGTGTAATATTTTCTGCAGTGCAAACTGGGATAGACAGCTAGAATGTAACATTTTATTACAGAATTTTGTCAGACAGATGAAAAAGCTAGGCTTCCATTCCTGGATTCTTTTGTCTGTCTGTGTGAAACGACGTTGCCTCACAGAAATCAACAGAAAAATAGAGACAGCTCTATTTGAAGCTAATGTTGACAGAACAAAGGATAAACTGATACCTTGGTGACTTTCATCGTCATCTGCATAATCATCCTCTTTCCAAAACACACAAGTCCCATTCCGCCTCTGAAACAATTTTGTTTCTCATTATTAACAAATTATGATGAAATGAACTACAGCCAATGATCAATTCGGGTTCTGTAAATTACATTAGAAACAAAAGAAAATGGAAATACACTACAGAATAGTCACGAGCCACAACTGCAGGCACAATGATAGCAGATGCTCACCTCGTTGTTGTGCTTGAATGTTACCCTGACTCGGTCCGTAAGGTTTGAGATTGGATCACTCCCCAGTGTCACTCCTATCACAGTGTTTTCCAGGATCTCATTTGTTTTTGAAGTCTTCAAGACACACAATATGATTGAAGAAATACTTAAATGTTCAGCTGCTATCAAAAAGCACAGCGATGGACTATTGGGAAACTTACCTTTTCTTTATCTATTGAAGGAACAATTAAACCTTTTATCATTTATCCTTCATTTATATTTTTTGTTTTCAGCGCAATTTTCTTGTGTTTCAGTAGTTTGGTCAAATTCTATCAACAGCGAAACCGCATTTACCTGCCTGGCTGAGGAAATGCCAGCACTGCCTGAAGGATTGAATCAGGGAGGAAGCTGCAAGGGTGAAGATGGGGTGGAGGGAGAGGTGCTAGAAAAGATGTACTCAGAGGTGTGGGCAATCAGAAAGTATTTTTATATAGGGGAGCTGGAATGCAAAATTGCAATTTGACCTCTCTAGCTTTAGTTAAATAATACCATTCAACGTGAATCAGATGCTAAGGATCTGATTCACATTGTCTGAAATTTGAATTATTCCATAAGTATATATCCTGAAATCATGCCTATATCTTCTCTGTTCTGCTGTTACATGAAGATCATTGGCATTGTAGCATTGTGCACAGAAATTAATGGAATACTAGGGGTCCCTTTTTGATTGCTTCAGCCATTAAGATACAGTATCTTTAACTTCTCTCCTGTTTTGAACGGAACAGATTGATTGGAAAATAAAAATAAAAAACACCTAAAGTAATAAAATCACTCAGAAATCACTGGAAATCTGAGTAGTATTGAAATGTTTTTGACTGTGAGTGCATCTTTCTCCAAAAAACTCAGTAACCATCTCTCTTTTTCAGCCGGTTGCATTTTATTACACAAAACTGACTCGAAAAATGAAGTGTAGAACCTACCTGAAACCAGCTTGTTTCATTAATCACTGTGATAGCTATTCGAGTCTTTTTCACCATTTTTGTCAGGGAGTTTTGAAAGACTTGTCTTGGAATATATACCTCGTGCCCTTCTGCTGCATTCTCAGACACCTGTAGAAAGAGAGGAATCACTGAGACCAGTTGATTACCAAAATTGATTTCCTTTTGCTTCCATGCACTTAATGGTAATAAATCCTATATCACAAAATAATTTTAATGTTTGATTTATTTTAACTCATTAAAACAAGAGGTAGCTGCTATTCAGAGGTAACTAGTTGATCCCAGGATCACATCCATGTTGTTTCTTTAGAAAACCTCTGGGATTGGCTTCAGTAACATAGCTGGAAAGGTTACTCCCAGGGAAACAAAATGTATTTCAGAGGAGGAATGGAAAGAGGATAATTATGCGCATGACAATGAAAGCGACCAAGATATTGTACACCAGTTCTCCCAGTGTACACCCTTGTTCTCCCATTTCAGGTTATTGTTTATTTTTTGATACAAGCATCTTCTCTACTCCCAGAAATCTTTATAAAAAAACTGCCTGTTCTCAGTTTTAATTGCACTTCCACATAGTTTTTACTTATGCCCTCTGGTGTCTCACTATTGATGTTGAAGAAGTTTATTGGGTTAAATTTGGGAATGCCTCTGAGAATTGTGAGTCGCAGTCAATGGAGGACAGTCCTGTAATACGATCACTCCTTTCTCGACTGATTCCAGAGTGACGATATTCTTTTGTGGAGCATGGCCACCACAATTGTACACAACGTTCTAAATGAGGTCCTACTGTACTAGTGCATTACATCCTTCATCACATATTATACTTTTTAATATTAATATTTAGAGGAAGAGTTGTTGTTTCAAGTTCCTTTTAAAAGTGAAACTTAAAGTTAAAGAGAGGCCTGCCATTTCTTACCCAAAAAGTTAGGTTTGTGCTTTCCTGCTCCAAATAACGAACATTAAACATGTATCCCTCCTGCAGTATTGTTTCGTCGCTTTCAGTGGAACATTGTGCAATTAGTTTTTCATACTTCCTGTGGATGGAAATAACTGGTCATTAGATCTTAGATACAAGATGTAAACTGTATGTAGACTAGTTTGATCTTTTACAAAAGTAAGATTTATTCTGTGACCATTACTCACAACAGTAACGAGTCTGTTGCTGTATAATGCAATGTTCGATGTCAGATCTGAGAGACGTTTTAGTGCAGGATTTACAGTACATGTTGCATACAGAGACAGTTTGAGCAGTGTGGACAAAACAGTGGACATGTGGCCATCTTTGGTAAATCTTAAAGGTACACTCACTTCAATAATCTGCATATATTTGGAGATATTTTGCCAAAGAGTTTGAAATGGCAAGAGTTAGCATTATGAACTGCATATCAACAATGAAAAAATGGAATAGGAACCAGGCAGCCATCTTGGATAATCCAGGCAGCTCATTTTCATTTAATTTAAACCTGGCACTAGATGCCTTATGCTTGTCAAGTTTGAAATTAATTGGCTACATTTCTCAGCAGGAGCAGTGCACACAGAAGATGGGATGAAAAAGGGTTGAGGGCCTGTTGTGGCAGTGGAAACTATTGTAGCAATTTGTCAGAAACAAAACTTACAAACCATTAGTTTATACAATCTCCCAAATTTGTTGCATACGAAGGAGATTTTGAAAGGGCTGTGAGCACAATGGTTGGGTTGACATGGTGCACAGACTTTATTTATAATTTGTTTATAAATAGGTCAGCAGTAATTTGGCTAGTGGTTTCAGCTGGCCTGCCGCTAGAAGTCCTTTTGACCTCAGGTCTGTGTAAATAGGTTCACATGTGGTTCGTTACTGATAAATGATCATTTAAACCACAGACACACAGGGGAGGAAAAAGAACCATTAACACAACACATATATCTTCTATTATGCATACTAAAATATTTCTGTCAAAAAACAAAGGAGAATTATTTGCCAGTTTAACAGATTACTGTATCAAACCCAGTAAATGTGTCTATCATGTTGTCTATGTATCCATGCAGTATCCATCATACCACATCATCGATGCTTTATTTGGAAAATCTGAGCTTTTTGAGTTTTTTAAGCATAGGGTATGAGAATGCAGAACAAGAGTGATACCTGTTTTAGATTTGTGTGTTTAAAGTATTGATAAAAAAGGACAGCATACTGTATGTCTGAGCTCACACACTATACCTTAATGAAAGACGTCTCTTCGTCTGGTATTTGATAGCATCCTGCATACGAATCGTTGAACAGTTTTGCTGAGTTTCATCTGCAAAGAAAGTTGCAAACATTAGTGTTTTAATACGTGTCATTATATACATTATGTACCCATGGGTGATAACTTTACATTAGCAGTGTAACTGGATACTGTATTTCTTCACAGGCAGACCACAGGTAGTAAAGACAGGCAACACAACCTCATCCACACTGACTCTGAGCATTGAACAGTCCCAGACTGTACTCGCTTTTCACTTATGACTGTTCAACCCAGTAATTGGGCTGATCAACAATAATGACAAGTTTGCATAGGAATGAGGTGGCTGATCTTGACAATAATCTAGCTCTGAATGTCACCAAGGCAAAATAACACATTAAAGACTTTGGGAAACAAAGAAAGAGCCACACTCTGACCAGCATCGAGCTCCAGTAGAAATTTGTTCCAGATTCCTTGGTTTTCAAATCCTGTATGATCTGGCCCAGATCCACAATACTGAAGCAGCTCTGAAAAAGGCACAAGAGTGCCTCCAGTATAAGAGGAAAGATGGGATGAATAAGTGGATATACTTGAGCTTTGATCTCTGCCCCATAGAGAGCCTCCTTACTGGAGGCACCACCGTATAGTACAGCAAAACAACTACACAGGACAGGAAGGCAATATAGAGGGTTGTAACATCTGCAAAAACCCTCAAACGATCCGACTTTTTATCACTTGAAGAGATCTATATCAACCATTGCTGAATTAAAGCCTCTGCTTTAGGATTATACCCACACAGGACACAAACTGTTCTGACCTTTACGGTCTGCCAGGCAGTATTGCAGCATGAAATCACAGACCACTAGGTTCAGAAATTTTTTTTTATCCCGAAGCAGTACGGTAATGCACAAGTATGTCTCATGAATACCAAATAGTTCAAAGCAAACTGACAGACTGACTATTAGCTAGTACCACAGACTGCTGAATGCTGTATTTTTTGCACTGCGTACTGCACACTGTTTTGTTTACTATTGTACATTGTAAAATATTTATTTTAATCTGTATTGTACTGTACTAGTAGGTACTTTCTTTGTATTACTCGCCAACCACTTTTATTTTTTGCTGCCTTCACCTGTCAGTACATGAACCTATACCTGTCTGAGTGTGATTAAGAATTCCAGTGTACTTGTTACAAATAGCACATACAATTTGGACTTGAACTTGAACTCCTTCACTCCGACTAGCAAAAGAGGTCAGATCAAAAGTGGCTTGGGTTTAACTCTTTGATTGGTATCCTGCACTGTATGTGCATGTTGCACTTCCTTGCACTTTAGTGCACTGCACATTGAAATATAAAGTACAGCATGTACGTTTATTAGAAATTGCTGTGTAACACTGGTCTTTATATCAAACACCTGACATGTTCCAACAGTAATATCCACCCATCCATTTTCCAAAGCTCCTGCCCATAGGTGAGGATGGGGAACGTAGATCAATGCAAAACCCAGAGCTTCATCCAAAAACTCAGCTCCCTCTTCACCACCATGGTGCAGTGTCCACATTACTTCCACCTTGCTGAAGGTTTTTGTGTCACGTGCTCAAATGGTTTTTCTTAACAAAATGCACCAAGTTTACCTGATGGTATTCTTTTGAGACCCATCGCTCTTTGCTCAGAACATGATGGCTGGGTGTTATCTGAAAGTGAAATTTGTACAAGACATTAGTAACTCTGAGGACAATGCCGGACAGTTTTCACACTCTCTGGTGGCCGAAAGTCCATTTTCACTTGACTACTAAGTTACCAAATTTGCATGACTGGATTGAATACCTCCCCCACCTATTATTATACTAACATAACAAAAAATAATACCATACCACGTTAAACCCTTCTTCTATAAGAATCTCTATTAGTTTCTAGATTTTGTGTCTTAAATAAATGAAAGCTCAGCTACTGGGCATGTTAAACCCAAGCTTTTTCCTTCTTCTTCTTATTATTATTATATATATTCACAGATTTTAACCCTCTTTGTTTAGACCCACCAGAGCAGGATATGTTTATTATGACGAGGGGCTCAGCTTTTGTTAAACCTGCCCAACCTCCCCCACCTCACTTTCGCAAGGACTGAGCTGTGGAGCTGCTGGAAGGGTGTAGATATTGTGTCAGGAAGAGTGGGAGTCTGATAAGCAGATATAGGGAGATATATTCTGCATGTCAAGAAGTGCGGAAGTGAGTGAGATTAGAATTTGCCCTTCCCCCCAAACTAATGTTATAATTCAATACAGTATATGACTCAGAATTTTGTCAGAAAACTACACACATACACAGGAAGAGATACCCCTCCTGATGTACAAACTGAAGATGAAACTGACCCAAATTAGCTTTCAACAGGTGATCTATGAATAGATCTTGAATAACCTTGTAACTACACAAGTAACAACATTCCCTCTGTTTTCCAGTAAGCTGTGGCATGTCTGCAATGTGATTAGAACTGCTGAATCTGCATTTGTTAATGCACTGGCATGTGACAGCTAACAAGTATTCTGTAATTATTCTAGGTTCAATTAATTAAGAATCCATGAGATTTGAAATGGAATAATAACATTACTGGAAAAGATTTGTATACCACGTTGTGTTGCTTTCATGACTTCCATACATTTTCTTATTCCTGTCTGCATAAACCAACTAATATCGTTACATATACATTCATAATACTGTACATACAGTATCACTACAACAAGCATGTTCCTTCCCAAGCATGTTGTGACTCAGTTTGTCCTTTCCCAATAGAAGCTCTATAATCATTGATAGACAAATCACAAACTCTCTGGCTCTTGTCCCTCTTAAATAAAATGCACATGTTGCTTTTCTGAAGTGTTTCAATATATTTACAGTCCAGTGCTTTGTTTAGCCACAGAGTTAGAATCCTAAATCACTGAATGATACATTAGATAGGGTAACACATTTCTTGCATTATAAAAATAAACATAACAAATTCCTCATTATAAACACCTATTAGATACATTTTCAAACCAAAAGGATATAAAACTAGAACATACAAGATAAAAAATCGTATTATTTCTAATTATTTCATAACTTTAAACCGTTTTTTAGAAATTTGTAAGATGTTTTCTTACCTTTTGTCAGTGCAATACAGACCAGTAAATTAATGATGAAGCATTTAAAGCATTTCATTTCTCCACCCAGTTCAAAGCCATCTGATACAGCATGTCTGACAAAATCGTAAATGAGTTTACATCAGGTACTGTTTCCTGTTGACTCTAAATTCAGACTTTAAGATGACGACAGACAGCAGACATCTTGAAAGTGTACTGGGGGAATCCTAAACTATGAGATTTCAGTGTTCTTTGAGATGTTCCTCTTTTTTCTAAGTTTCTGTAAGAGATTCAATTCGCATGGCACAACAGTACATGTACTTCAGAGCAAAGTGACATGTAAACAATGTTTTAACCATGATTTTATTGGTATGATTGACCTGACCTTATAAACTGAGCCAAAATCAGTGTAGAAGTTTACTTACAGTACATATAAGCTGTGAATTTCAGCATTTTGAAGACCATATCTTAAAGCCTTTTGCAGCAGCGTAAACTAATTACTTTTTCATCTCAATAATTGTATTCTGTAAAATGTATTTGTTCTTTAGGAAACTAACCTATAATCAACATACAGTAAGCCATTGCATAAGAAGAAATGGACATGAATAAGTTATGGACCTAATTGTTCTATTCAGTGAAAAAAGGCCATTCACAGGAGCCTAAAGTAAAATGAGGTTGCTCATCAATAAACAATTGCTGGCTTATCTGTACCACATGAATCACTGCCAGTGTCCAGGCAAAGGGACTGAGAACCATTTGCTAACCACTGCTTGCTGCTTATCTGGGTAATACAGGATTCACCTTAATGACAAAATCATGCTTTTCATTTGCAGTGGAGAAAGAGCTGGTGTTACATGCCTTTTATTTTGATAATTGACTGGAGCAACTGGAGTAAAATTATTCACCTAGGAGTACAACAATAGTATGGTGATATTCTGTATATGCATGCCTATAGCACAACTTACAGTTCAAAACCTATGTATTGAATATGGAAAAAATGCTTTTAGCTATTTTGCTGCCTGGTACTGGAATTTTCTTCAGAAAGATGTAATGTTTTCTGACCTCATACCTTTGAAAGGCTTAAAAGGAATTACAGGTGAATGTATTATTGCTAAATGTACTTGTTTAATGTACGTTTTTATTCTTAAAATAGACCTAATAGTCATTTAAATGGATTTATTGTCAAATTGTTCTTCTTCTCTTCATGTTAGTATAAATGGATACATTTTATTTTTGTTGCCTTTCTGACTAGGTCTTGTTTAAAAAAGAGATCTTGATCTCCTGGAGACTTTCTGGCTAAATACAATTACCCCAGACACACAGTACTTGAATGAGATATCCTCTCAGACTCCAGCCCCCTTAGTTGAAAAGTAGTTATACCACATTTATCATAAGTAAGGGAGTGTCTATTACTTACTATACTAACTAATTTGGCTTTTACCCAAAGCAATTTATGTTTACTTCCATTTATATAGTGGGGTAAAGTACTAAAACAATTCAGGCACCTTGTTCAGGAACACAACAGGACTATCTCAGTTAGGATTTGAACCCACAACATCCCACTACAAGTCCAGAACCCCAGTCACTGCTCTACACTGCTTTTATGCAATATTTGCTAGCTACCACTCATGTGACCTTATTACACCATGTTTCACTTTTCAAATCTTTTTTTAAAAGGAGATTTATTCACAAAATATGATACAGGTTCCACATTAATTGATACTGACAGTGTCTCGATTTTTTTCCCTTCTGTGTTTTGATTAACAGAAATTCCACTGTTCCCATTTAGAGGTTTGTATTACCAGCAGACTTCCTTTTAAAGTGAAAGTCACTTTCAGAACCCTATTTGAAGAGTTACTCAAAGATGTAAATGTGTGTATACAAATGCATGTCATTTCAGAAGCAGCCAGGAGTCAACAAAAATAAATACTCAATTTGCAATATGACACCATGCACAATTAGTCTTTCTACTCTGAATTCTAAAATGCTGCATTAACACTGGGGTTTGGGGAGTAGAGCTGCCACAGTCCACTTGAGTTTTCGACAAACATGTTCTGGCACAAAGTCTCAAGACAATGTCTGGAAATTGAGAAGAAAGCAATGACCCAGCTCCACCATGCTAAAAAGTTGTGAGGGAACCTCCTCCTCCTTGAACGTTCATACATTCCCTCATGTGTGGGCAGAGCTTCCTGGCCCAGAAGAGCTTCCATCTTTGTAACTCTGACGGGCGAGAGCGAGGAGACACAGGAAGAGAAACAGACCTGCAGGGGGAACAGCCAGCATGTTAAGATTGACTCTGTCCCTTGTGAAAATTCTTAGCCTAAAGTACCTCATGCTTCAGCCCAAAGCCCCATCGGGCTTGAGGTTCTATCTGAAGTGGGTGGAAGTCTGGATGGGACTTAAGTCTATTCCAGGGTTAGTCCCAGCAATGCTGAAACCCATTTGTACAGCTGGATGGTCTGGAGCTGCTGGAGTAAAATCATTCACCTAGGAGTACAACAGCAGTGTGCAAAGTAAGGAGCTGATGATGACGGACCTTCTTGTTGTGAGTCCAGAGCTCTAACTACTACTCTGCACATACTATCATCCCTAAAGCTCCACAGCCAAAATCTTGAGATCTTCCTCTCTGTTTTTCAGGGTGGAATTAATCTCTATGTGTTGCTCTGCAGCCAAAGCACACTGCTGTAGGGGTCCACTCGCAACCAAACCACGCTGATATACAGTATATACAGTATTTATACTTGAGTGCTGTCCCTGCGGTATTCAAACTTGTTTTCACATCAGTCATTATCAAACAACAGCACTTGGAAGATAATGAACTCTAAGGACAATGAAGAAATCTGAGTGATTTAAATAACTCCAGCTGTCTAAGAGCAAAGTTTGAAAATTCAAAAATCATTGACCATCATGAGGTGGTGCTTCTTAAATCCTTTAATTTACCATTGTGCAACGGAGTAGCTGTAACAGCACTTACATTGCATAAATGTGTAGTGAGCTAGAAATGAGATGTATGAGTTTTAAAAAAGTGGCGCACCTCTTTTTGTTTCTTTGTTTAAATGTATTATTTTTTTTTTCTTCATGATAATACACACCATGAAAACTCCTAACAGGATGACAACAAGCTCAAGTGCTGCTTAATAGTTTATCCTGAAGATGGCGTTTGGCACTGGCAGTGTTAAGGAATCTGCAGTTCTAGCAAGGGTCAAAAGTCAAAGCAATTAAAGGCACCGCCAGAACATTTTGTCCACTAATTTGTGTCTGGTTTCCTTATCTGATCACTTTGAAGGTTGGTAAAACCGTTTAAAACCTCATAAATATGTTATAAAATGAGCACAAGGCGAATAATTGGATGTTGTGGCTAACGCATAAAGTTGTTGGTAAAAATTCATCGCTGTTACAATGCATTTATTTTACAAATTTGTTTAAACTAATTTAGCCGTTCGGTAGGCTAATAAGCAGGTATACAAGATGTGATTATCATGCACTGAAATGTGGTGTTATGTTTGAGTTGTGGAAATAGCTAGAAATGAGCATTTATGTAGAAGCCACACTGCGTAAAGATGTGCTGTTTAGTGTAAACGTTGATTAGAAATATGACTTTTGCCGTGAGGCTACTGTATACTGAAGCAAGATGGCGAACTCCATTGTAAAAAAACGTGGTGAATATGTAAGGCAACAGGTGACACGGAGGGAGTTGATTATAATAGTGGAACTGCGAATAGACTTCAGTTAAATGTGTAAGAGTTAAAGGCATCGCACAATACGTTGTAAATCATCACTAAAGCAATAATGTTGGTCGTGTTAACTGAAACTGTGTAGTAAGTGATTGAATTGTTTAAACAATGGAAATGGGGGGGAAATGGTATATTGAAACTGCGTAAAAGAACATGCAAAAAAAGTGATGTTGAAAAGCTGGTTGGAAAAGGCAAAGTAATTAAAGGCACTGCAAGAACATGTTGCACACAAACTGGTGTCTTGTTTCCTTATCACTTTGGAGTTCACTCCAACTCAGGTGCCCCTTGTCTTTGTTACAGGGGTAACAAATGCTTTAAAATAACAATATCCGTGTTTAGTTTAAATATTTCTTATAGGTTCTGAACTTGTTTTAATCCTAAGCATAACTGAAGAACAGCACTAAGGGAAGGTTATGCATCATAGCTGTTAGGACAGGTGTTGAATTCCTTTTACCTTAAAAATCCAATGTTGAAGTGGAAGTCCATGACATTTCCTCACACTTTATACTTTATTGGTTTTAATCTCAAATTAATCACAAGTGTTTCCTCAGTTTGCTTTTTTAGTCCATCAGGTGAAAATTCATTATTTCTTGACAACACTAGGGGACAGAAAGGTCGCAGCTGTCTGATTCAAGCTGTATGTCCCATGTGTGGAGGCTTCCGAGGGGACGGCTCACCTTGGAAGGAGTTGAGGATGGTGAAGATGTAGAAGACGGGAAGCTCCAGTGGTCCGTATGCGAAGAAGGCCAGAGCCCAGGGGAGGCCCAGCACGCAGCCCAGTCCCAGCACTGTCATGCAGTCTTTCCACCAGCTCCCCTCTCTGTGCATCCGGCTCCGTCTCAGCCTGTGCATCTTCACCACGGTGATGCCCAGCATCACCGCATTGAAGAGGAAGATCATCCCAAAGTAGGCCGTGATGGTGACGTAGTTCACTGTCCTATCCTGTATCCAGCACCTGCCCATGATAAAAATGACAAACCATATGGAGCTGTGCTGTATATTGATGTACAGGTACCGTTCCATTGATCTCATCATGGAAGAGGTGAGCACGACCTACATGTATGTAGAATTCAGAGCCCCCTCTCCTTGAATCCTGTATCTGCCATACTTCTGAGCAGCAGCACACGCAGTGACTACCACAAGAGGAACACCTGGAAGACAGTCATTGAAGTCATTGAAGCTAACAGTTCTCCTGGTTAGGCTTTGTGTGACATTAGGCAGAATTATGAAGAATTCTGTGTTGTTGATTGCAGAGCAGAAGTTGCTACAATATATCATCTGAAAAGCAGAGAAAAGGGTCATGTACAAGCCTACCGCTAAACAGTGCTAGATTAGACACATGCTAAATGCTATCTGCTTGAGACCATTAAGGGTAGGACTGAGTGGAACAGTATTTAGCAGAACAGCAGGGTCTGGGGTAGTGTTCGCTCTTACCCCATCCTACAAGGCTCAGTTTCAGCAGGTATCTGTGGACGTAGATGTTGTAGACCTTAACCAGCAGCATGTAGAGGTGGAAGCCCTCGATGGCCATCCAGGTGAAGCAGCACAGCAGTGCCCAGTGCAGCAGGAGGCCCAGCGCCAGGCACAGCCCCTCACTGCTGCCCTGCGCCAGCGCCACACTGAGGAGGAAGAGGAGGTGCAGGAGGAAGAGGCTGCCACTGAGGTGGACGTGCACAGCCAGGGATTTCTCAGCCCTGCGTTTCCTGTGAGGACAATGCAAACAACTTCTATTTCTGCACACAAGCTGAGAACAAACCTTCCTCATCCATCCATTTTCTAAATGCTTTATCCAGTGTGGGATGACAGGGGACACTAGAGCAATGAGCACAAGGCAGGATAACACCACTGGCTGTGGTGCCAGTCAATTGCAGGTCACATACAGACGCAAACACAGTGACACCGGGGCCTATTTTCCCAAAAGCCAGTGAATACCAGTATGTTTTTGGACTGTGGGAGGAAACGGGAGCACCCAGACGAAACCCCCATGAACATGGGAAGAACATACTGTACAAACTCCACACAGACAGCACCCCAGGAATTGAACTCTGGGCAACAGGGCTGGGAGGAAGAAATACTCACCATAGTGTCACAGTGCCACGCCAGCTTCCTCATAAATATCATAATATGCAAACAATTTTGCTCTTAGGCAGAAATTGCTTCCCCTTTCCTTCTGGCACTAAAAGTGAATGTTTAAAGGTGTCAAGACAAGCTAAAGAATATAGTTGTGAAAACTAGATCAGGAAAGGTATCTGGTGATTATTTCAAAGTAAACTTGTAGTATGGGAGTCAAGGCCAGGGAAGGTTGTATAGTAATTGTTAAAAGCCATTCAAACCTGATTCTGGTTATATACAGTATAGGAGAAAATATGGAACAAATAATAGGTTTATTCCATGCTGAAAAAAAGAAGAAAGAAAACACAACGTTTCGGACGTGGAGCGTTCTTCAGGTGTTCAGGTGTTCTTCAGGCTTTTTTCAGCATGGAATAAACCTATTACTTGTTCCTTTGCAGCCTACGCATGCTGACGCAGTTACCCACCTGAACTATGAGAAAATATGCTTATTATGTTTTCTGTTTTCATTTACTAGAAATGAGACTCAAATATTTTTTCACCTTTTTTTGTTGCAAGTGTGCGACGGTCCTGACGCATCACTTCAGCTGAATACAGTTCATTCAACTTACCAGAACAAGAAGTACAAGGCAATAGTGATGGCTGTGAACAGCACAGAGGATCCACTTGCGATATAGGTGATGTACTGAAGAGCTTGAGTGTTGGTTTCATCTAAAGAGTGGGGCGTCTCTGCTTTCTGTCAAAAACATTCATTAATAATATTTAGTTTTCTTGCATTGCAGACTCTTATTTAGAATAAGAGTCTGCAAGAGTCTTATTTAGAATGACTTACAATACATAAATGCATAAATATATTTAGAAGGAATGATCTGGAAAATACAGTAAGGACAAAATAAATTAATGAAATGATTAGCCTTTCCCTGCTCTTCCAGCTCCTAGTACTGTATATACAACAATATCAAACTAAAACCACACAGCTTGTGTGGAAACAGAGGAGAAATGCATTCTTATTAGTAAGAATGTATTGAATAGAGCTATTGTTGGTTTTCAGAATGAAGTGTCTCTATCTTCTGTTGAAAACAAAAGAACATTTAATTTTTTATGACAATTATTTCAATAAAAAGTTTCCAACTATTTTAAGGCTGTCAACACCATACAGTATGCAAGTCATGGATTGCAGTATTCGTGCTGGGGAAATGTGCTACTTTGTCGATTCAGTGCTCAATTTTGCCAGTCTCTTTCTTTCTTATAATGATGCATAGAACCGTCCTAAAGAACAGAAAGATATGTTCTGTGCATCAGAATGAGCTGTTCATGTTGTGGTGTTGTGCACTAACCATTAATATAGCAAAGAAACTGAGGTGATTGCAGTTACAGATAAATGCGTTATTTGTTTTGTTGGTTTCACATCCCTTTTCACTCCAATTTCCTGCAAATTCCATAGTAGCATTGTACTCTGTTGTGACATCTGAAAAGCAATTGTAAAAAACAGTGACAAGTGGGCAGAAATGTTTTTTGAGACATTTTTCCTAGACAAGTCTGTCACTTCTGCAAAAACTAAGACCAACTGACAGAGCACGACTGGTAGGGTGTTACATCAGTGTGCGAACTGTTTGACATAAGCAGAAGGTTAATTTCACACTGGACAGTAAACCAAAAGAAGAAGTAGGAACAGCAAAACAGGAGGCAGACTGGTTAATTGTTTCAGGGAACTTGTCGGAACAGCAAGAATCGAAGAACTGTCCAAGCCAGCAGTTCTCCCTAGCACTTCTCACAGACACTTCTGCTAAACTTTCTCTCTACATCCTTTCACAGAGATTTATAAACTCCTACTTCAATATGACATCACAAGCGCAAATTATCCTTAAACTAGGTTCATAAATTCTCACAGCTCTCAATGAGCTGGAAAGAAAAATCTAGAAATCTCTTTTTGAATCTCTCCCCCTCATTTATGGATTATTGCTTCCTCTGGAATTTGTCATCTGGGTTTCCATTTCTTTATCCTGTTTTCATCCTCTGACCCCCTCACGTTTTTGTCCCCCTAACCCCTTTTCCTGCATCCCTGTTCTCTCCCTCGTATCCTAACGCACCCGAAGATCCCCCACAGAAAGAGTCCTTTCTCCTTTCTTTTTTGACTTGTGGAATTAACCTTTGCTTTTTTCTAGAGACACAAGTGATTTTACAGTATGTACCTGTTGACAGAAAGCAACAGAAAAACAAAAATCAAGATTTATACTATATTCTGGAAAAACATTTTACAATGTTTTGAACGTTCAAGCAGCATGGTTTCAGAAAGAAGGTATACCTGTAATATGCACAGTGGATTTTACATGTATCAGCTGCTGGCTTTTAAAGAGGGAAATAAATGTACCTTACCTTCGTATGATGCATCATCATCATCCTCTTCCCAGTACACACAACTTCCATTTCGGGTCTGAAATTCAAACATTTAGCTTTATTTGTCTTCCAGGCGTCACTGATTTCTCAGGATCTCACAGTGAACTTTTTGAAATGCAAGAAAAAGCAAAAACAAGGATAAAAAATAAGGATTCCAATTAATTGGGAATGCTTTCCAGATTCCTCTCTGGGGTGAAGGCATGAGGAAGGAAGATAGGATATCCGCCACCCAGAAATGATATTTTAAGATTTATACTAGTTCTCCACAGTGAGCATGTCGCATCACATGTCTATTTTAGCCTATAAACTATTAGGGTGTTGTATAGGACATAAACCAGTGGAAGTGTGTAAATAGGATCATTTTATAAACCTTTGTCATTGCAATAGCTGTAATGTCACAAAGTCTAAAGGACAACTGTTCACAATCCCTGCTCTAACTGGCCACAGAGAAGCACAGGCAGGCTGTTAGAGGACACTCACCTCGTTGTTGTGCTTGAATGCTACCCTGACTCGGTCTGTGAGGTTCAAGATTGGATCACTCCCCACTGTCACTCCTATCACAGTGTTTTCCAGGATCTCATCTTGTTCTGAATTCTTCAAAGACAAACAATGGAAGAAGAAATAACTTTTCAGGCTGGAGAGCACAGATTTTCCATCAAGTGCCATCAAGTGCCTCATGTAGAGGAAATGAGGAGGACAAGGAAAATTTCAGCGTTAAATCACTGATCAAGTTTCTTGCTTTTCCAAAGATATTCTCTCTTTTAGCTTACTCTGTTGTTCAAAATTCTTACAAGGAAGTGAATAATATTATGCAATGTGTGTCAAATGAATTTTTCCGCTGTTTTTGGAAAGGCCGTGATTCAATATTATAAATTTCAGATTCAATTTGACCAAATCCCTTGAGATGCAGTTTTTAAAAGATACAATAGCAAACAGAAAAATAAGGATCTATCTTTAAAATTACATAAGATATGATTCACCGTCTCAGAGTCTCAGAAAAAATGACAGTGAACTTATAAATGGCGTTGAGTGAGCGATAACAATTTTCTGCACAAAACAGACGCTGGCTTTCATCACATTACTCCCCAGACGTTATTCTTTTGCCTTCTTCTTTTCTAACTTAAAACAGTAAATGACATTCCCTAAAAACGAAGTTGATGGTATTAACACCCATCTCTGAAACATACAACCATACCTGAAACAAGAGTGTGTCATTAAACACTGTGATCACTACCCAGTTACTTGTCTTTGCTTGCTTCATGTGCTCGCTGGCTTTGTGAAAGACTTCCACTGGTACATAGACTTCATGGCCTTCTGTCCCATTTTCTTTAAACTATTAAAGGAAAAGAGCAGTAATTCACTGAAAAAGCTTAGTTACTGAAACCAAAGTTTAGTAGTGCTATCAATCTAAAATTCTGCTATGATATTGTGACAGGTTAATCCTTGAAGGAACACACCATACCAGCAGTCTCCATTTGTTAAAAGAACCTGCAAAACATCTCTGGACACTAACAGTTTAATTGGAATGGAAAGATTTTCTCATGGATTTTATTTTTATTATTGTTTTTAGTTAAGTTTATTTAACAGGGACAGCACACTGCTCTTAAGATGCACTAGAGTTAGCTTAAAAGCTGTAGACCCTGGGCAGGACACAACCAACAAAATACAAGACAGCCATATAAAAAGACATATACCAAGGCATACTGTATGATAATAAATAGATATTACAAAAGGTAAAGTGTGCATTAAAAAATAATGGCATGTTAAATTAAGAAATATGTTTTAAAAAACTGCAAAAGTTACATTAGAAAACAGACTTACCGAAATCTGCTGAGCTGCATACTTATCTAAATGTATAATTTCAATTAAACATGAGAACATACAGTAGGTCACAGCAATGAAAGAGGGGCTGGAGAGAGGAGTGAGAGGTGGTGCTTCTGGAGTGGTAAAGGGGCATCGTGTGAGATTTGTGTATTAAGCAATGTGTGACTGAATTTGCTTTTGCGTAGGCACTGTGTTTTCATACAGTATATAAAGTTCCTCAGTATGTAAATCTCTCAGGGATAGGGATTGTTCTTACAATTTAATATTCCTCTTCTTGAATGTGCTATTTTCCAGTGCTGGAGTCATTAATATAATGCAAATGTTTAAAAATGTAACCACTAAACATAATGTAAAATAGAAAATGTAATACTAAACCAATTTTGCAAGTTTTACATTTTTGCTCATTTTTATATGCTGGTTACTATAGTGGTTTCTATAGCTGCTTTAAACAGTGCCTGTATTTTCCTACCTCATAGTCAGGTGTGATAAACAGATCCACTGCTTTATTTTCTACAGCAAGAAAGTGCACCATTGGCCTGCCTTGACTTTTTGATGCTCTGCTCCCATTCAAACATTGTGCAATGTTCTTTTCATATTTCCTGTGAAAGGAAATTGCTACAGTCACCTCCTAGTTTATCTGTCACTTCAAGAAGAGCTGTATCTCCTGAAAAAATTGCAGATTAGAACACTTTATAATGAGTATTGGTGTTCTAACACTTAGAACATTAGAACACCCATACTTATTAGAGCAATACAGGATGAGTGATACCCTGCATTATCTAATGCATACTGCACTACTGGTACTGTACATGTACTTTATAGAAGTGTTTTCCTTCTCTTTGATAAAGCAGAAGGAAATGCAGACACACATCAAGATTACATATTGAGGCGATGCAAAATGTTTTTTTGTGCTGTATTAAAACAACAGATGTTCATTTGCCCATTTTAAATACCATAAAATAGGCTTTCTGTTAGCTGGAGCTCAACCTGGCAGACACTCTAGAGTCCATGATGGGGCACTCACACATATGGGGGATAATTTAGAGATGCCGATTGACCTAGGCAGACTTATGGACTGCGAGACAAACCTAGAGCACCCCTGTCAAGGCCTGAAAACATTCATACTCCACACAGAAGGTACCCCAAGCAAGAAACAAACCTAGGAAATAAAGTGTAATTTTTAAAACTAATACAGTACAGTACCTTGACCAGATACATTTGTTCTTCTTACATTTGAAGTCTTTTTTGTGAATATCACAAGGTTCTTCTTGTTGCTCTAAAAAAAATGTAGTGTATTAGAAAGCTTACGTATTGTGTGAGCAGTAGTATTTTTAAGAGATTTCTATTTCACTGTGTTCTTTCACTCTGTGATATGTGATCTCACAGTTATCTTATCCACTTAGTGTTTATATGTTGGTGCAGTTTTGAATATGAAGTAAATTAAAAATGACTTATTCCTTTTATGCAGTTTTTGTTTTTAATGACGGCATTAAAGTAGAAAAGAAATTCTAAGGTATCTGCACTCAGTCCTTTCATTAAAAAGTGTATTATTATACTGTAAGAATACTATTTCTAACAGCTTCAGCATACAGAACTTTATGCAGTATCTCATCAACTGTCTGGTTAAGAATCTGCTGCCCATTTTATGGTTGAAGGACTGATACTAGGTGATCGATTTATGATGAAGAAACACAAGTGAGAATGACAATATATCAGATACTCCCAAGATGCATGTTTTTTTCCATTTTGCTTCAGCTGCATTTCCCACAGCTGGTACCAATGTCAAGTCCAAGATACCTTTCTAAGAGCAGAAGAAATATTAAAAAACACGCCTAAAAAGAAAAATTGAAATCAGCTTGCCAGCAATTTAGGCCTTGGTTGGAAAAACGAGCAGGACACACAGTGGTTTCTCAGGATCACATCTGAGAATCACTGATCCAGAGCAAATTTAGTCTGAGAAGCACAGTTAGCAGAGGTATTTATGGCCCTTAGAGTTTTACTTTCCTAGGAAGCATGTTTTTTGGAACCATTGAAATGTCTTGGTCCCAGTATAGTATTTTGTGCTCCTTGGTAAATGTTATACTAATTCCCAGTGTCAGTTCTGCTCGTGCTTAAAGAAAACCCTATCATTATTTTCATAAAAAGATCTCTGCTTCTGTTTTGGCCACCTTCCAGGAGCAGAATTTCAGCCTCAGTTTTAATAGCTTGGTATTTACCAAGAACCGAAAAATCGATCGATCTGAATGGTGAATGAATACCTGTGTTTTGGTTCCGAGGTCCGCCAGAGACTTGACCTGGTACAAGATAAAGTTCAAATAAATCAAAGTAGTGTTACCAATTAGTAGGTTATCTCTGCTTTGTGTTTCATAGCCATAGACCAGAAATTGACATTTTACTATTTTAGGAACAAGTAATAGGTTTATTCCATGCTGAAAAAAAGAAGAAAGAGAACACAACGTTTTGGCCGTGGAGCCTTCTTCAGGTGTGTAAAACCAAAACAGAAGCACCTTCTGTTTGAACATAACAAATCTCCACACCTGAAGAAGGCTCCACGGCCAAAACGTTGTGTTCTCTTTCTTGTTTTTTTCAGCATGGAATAAACCTATTACTTGTTCCTTTGCAGCCTACGCATGCTGACACAGCTACCCACCTGAACTTTTACTATTTTAACCTTCTAACTTTCCACAGCACATTTAATTTTTGAGCAGGAGCCCATAAACACTATATAAAATAAAATAAAACATTATTTAAAGTTATGAATAATCTGTTTATTCAATTCAGGTTCAAATACTTTATCTTAATTGAGGCTAGGTTTAAAAGAAGTCCAGGTTACATGAGGCTTACCGGTGCCTCTGGTACTTCCTCAAAACAGATCTCTCTTATCTCTGGTACTGTGCTTCCTGATAGTAACAAGCACAGTAGCTCAGGTGACACTCTTAACTGTTCAAGTATTCGGGATACAAATTATGGCACTCCTTCACAGGATTATTGTGGCAGACCAAATCCAGGATACTGGATTTTTATATCACCATGAAAGTTTGTTATGTTCATGCCAGTATTGTATTACAACTATTGCTCATTCCAGTAGTTTTATTAGAAAACTGTATTTAACGTGTTTGGGGAAAAACGTGTTCACAAAAAAGAAAACTGTAAGCAGTATTGCAGTGAGTAACATCTTTGCACTTTAGATTAACTACAGAACCTTGGAAAAAGGTGTAAGACAAATGGATAAAAAAAATAATCATCCTGTTGTGAAACTGAGCTACAACTACAGTTTACAACTTTCACTAGATTAGTGGTGTACTGTACATCACAGGTATGTAAATGTATTTAATCTAAAATTAAACTTTACAATGAAAATATAATAATAGCAAATATAATAATTTGTTTTATCAAATTATGTTGTGTGAAAATAATAGTAATTCTGCACAGTAATGGAATTATTTATTAATATAAGTAACATTTCACTTGTTTCGTCATTCTGTACATGAAAACTTTCCCACATGTGAACACTTGCTCCCAACAGCTGCATTAATTACAAAATTGTATTATTTAAATCAGCCAGTTATATTTATGAGATTAAAAGAATGTTCTACATTGATAGGCTGAAAGTACTTAACCTTTTTTAGAACAGAGAAAGTTACAAAGGGACCTGTATGAATTATTCAAAATTCTCAAAGACACTGACAAAGTCAATCCAGCAGACCTTTCAGTATCGACAGTGAAACATTAATCAGAGACTAGTGAATACTATGTGGAAATCCTTTTAAAATCAAGAACAGGAGGCACTTTTTTACACAAGATGGTTTGAGTATGAAGCTAGCTACCTAGCGTTGTTGTTCTTAAATAAAACAGTTCCACTTACCCTCTCTCAGCACAGTGGAGAGTAGCGAAATAACAATGAAATAGCTGTAATTCCACATTTCACACAGTCTTTTATACAGTAGGAGGAAGAATTAAAATATGTCCTCAATAGATGTGTCAAACTGTAGAATGAGACACTGTCCTGTTGAGATATTTTAAACATTTCCTGTTTCTAAAGATTTTGAAAGGTAATGGATATTGCTTCATAGCGCATGAGAGTGTTTCTTCAAAGAAAGATGAATGGAGCAACAACAGATGGTTTAATTATCCAGGCCCTTGCAGTCTTCTGTGTTCAAGACTGTAAAGGTTCAGTTCCTTCAAACTGTCGGTGTTGGACATTCCCTTTATCCCCAGAATATACTGTACTGTGGTTGCCCTTGTGTTGACTAATTCCAGAGAAGCAATATGACTTTTGTAACATGGTGTCCTGAACTGCACTCTCCACTTGTCTGTCTGTCTGTGTTAAATATGATCTGCCAGAGTTTTGCCCAGTTTTGAATTTCATCTAAATCTTTGTTAATTCAATTTGCTGCTTCAACTATCTATTCTGAAAAGGTCAGAAGCCAAGTCCACCTGTGATGATTTTTGTATATATTCAGTGGTAAGAATACAAACGTTATCACCCTTTCATATTCTTCCTCAATATTTAAATATGTTACTGGCTTATTCTTGTGTGGACTGCAGATGTCATAGCAAAATATTTCCATGTTCCGACTGCTATGTTTAGGAAGAGGTAACTGTTTTGTCCCCAAGTCTTTTTAGAACTAATAAAACAACTTGCCATTTCCTTTCAGTGTGCCTAGAGACTGGATTTAGAATGAAATTCAACAGAAAAATATTGCTTGAAAAATTCTTTAATAACAACTCAACTAAACAACAACAGTAACATATTACATATTCCTACAGATTGTCTATGTTCAAAATCAACATTCCAAAGATTTTTTAAGTTCAGAAGTTACATTTGCCTACAACAGGATTTATATCTAGTAGCTTAAAAAGCAGGGTTTCAAGTGTTTAATTACATAATGCATGTACAGTATTATAGAAAAACAAGACTTCAGAAACAATCCAAAAAAGAATAAGTGTTAAATTGAATCAAAACCAGAATTCAATTTCTTGGTAAGATGTGAAGTGTTGGTTCTTGTTACAACATTTTAGGCCTCTGGCCTATTTTGCAGAGTGTTAATAATTGTGACAACACTGTATTATAGGTGTAGATTAAAATAAAGTGCGATCCATTATTACTAAGAAAAGCTTATAAAAGTAGACAATTTGACATTTATTATTGAAAAAATGTAATATGTTCCGATCAGAACGTTATGCTTTGCTTTCCATGGTATTTCCATGGTATTTTAAGAACTAGCATGGGACTCAGAATTAACTATAGCTTTAGAAATTATTCCATAATGATTAAGGGACAGGTGTGTTATTTTTACTTCTACATACAGGACTCAGTCACAAATTCGAGGTGAACATCAAACAGAAAGCTACATCAATAATCTACAGTACATCAATTTAGAATGTAGTGGGCATATGCAAAGTATATTCATGTGGCTACGTGCAACAGAAGCAATTACTGTATGTGTTATCTACTTCTCAGCAACTTCTGCTTGATGGGGTTTTAAATGTGAATGTACAGAAAATGCTTCCTGTTCCTGGTCAGTCCTTTGAGGTGTAACATATACATAATGTTGGGTTAACATTGGTCATTGGTCTCAATGACGAACATTCTTTGAAAAGCGCCATGTTTTGCTATTTGTATGGGTCACTGTTCAACTCAGGGAACAGAACCTCCTTTGGTTTAGCAATGGAGCTTGTTTCACAGCCTGCGTAGGAGCTTTTAGTCTTAAAGTCATTGGTTTTTACCCCCTTTGATGAGGAGGCACAAGTCCAGAGGAATATAAAAAAGCCTGTGGGTTAGAAAACACAGAGTAAGACGTGCTTATACCTTTTCTAGGGCTCACAGTTTATGACACAATTAAAAGAGCCTTTTCAAACACTGATCCCAAATACGCAATCCTATCTTTACATTTAAGAAACAAAAATTGAATTTCTCCAGTCAGGCTAGGGGAGGTCATTCCAGGATTTAGGAAGGGCAAAGGAAACCTTTTGTCTTTCTTGCTCGGCTTTGAATGATTTAATTGGATCAAGTAACTATTTGTCACAGACACCTGTTTTATTGCTTATTTACTGCTTCTGAGCAACCAGCAACCTTTAGTGAGCCCAGATATACAGAAAGTAATTCTGCTTGAGCTCAGGCGCATCAAGGCTCAGCTTGCTTTCTTAGGAAATCTATTACACCCACTGTAAAAGAGGACCTGATCAGACTATGAGGGTGACTCTTGTGTGTGTTTCATTCAAGGGAAAGTGGAAGCAAACAAAGTGAATGGATGGGGGGTGTTTTAAAATGGGAAAACTAAACATTACATTTCAAAGTATGGCTAAAACTCAACACGTAGATGGTTAGACCAACTTCTGGAAGCTTAGTCCAGTGATGTTATTGTTTTATGGACTGGACCTGCTGTTCTCCTTTGCCAGCAGCTGTATCTCCCTGCAGCGTACAGCTGGCAACCCACTGAAGCTCAGCAGGTGTGAGCCTCTTGGTACCAGGATGGGAGACCTCCTGGGAAAGCTAAGGTTGCTGCTGGGAGAGGTGTTAGTGGGAACAGTAGGGGGCGGTCTCCCTGCGGTCTGTGTGGGTCCTAATACCCCAGTATAGTAACAGGGACACTTCAGATAAGATGTAAAATCGAGGTCCCGACTCTCCATGGTCATTAAAAATCCCAGGGCGTTTCTCAAAAGGAGTAGTGGTGTAACCTTGTGTCCTGACAATATTTCCCCCTGGACTTTACCAGTAACCTCCTAATAATCCCCATTTATGAATTGGCTTCATCACTCTGCTCTCCTCCCCACTGATAGTTGAAGTGTGGTGAGTTTTCTGGTGCTTAACATTTATGGTGAAGGGAAAAGCGCTAAATAGGTGTAAGGATTATTTATTATTCTCCAAACTTCTGGCTTTTTAAACATTTCTAAGTTCCACTAAAACATAACCGTAACCGACTGACAGGAATGAATGAAAGAGCCAGCACCCGTCAATGAATACAGTTTCCTAATCTTTCTGTAAGGTAACACATTTCTCTGTTTTAAACCTAAAGAACTCACCTTGCAAAGAGTTGAAGATGGTGAACATGTACAACACAGGCGTAGTGAACACGCCGTGCCCGAAGAAAGCCAGGCCCCAGGTGGTCCCCAGCAGACAGGTCAGGCCTGTCACAGTGCACATGTCTTTCCAGAGAACACCCTTGTCTGAAGATTTGCCAAACCTGCGCAGCTGGCCAATCTTGACAGCCACTGTGATCAGGATCCCCATGTTGAACAGGAATATGATTCCGAAGTAGGCAATGTTAACTCCGTACAGGAAGTTCTGGTTCATAATCCAGCACCTGTTTGGTAATCACAAAAAGAAAATCTTTAAGCAGTGCCTTTGCTTAACTCTTGAGGTTCCCATTTGCAGTAGACTCAAGTTTGTCTTAATACCGACAGTATACAGAATGTTCTAGTACTTCTATTAGAATTTGAATTCTGGGCCATGTGGCTTCCTACAGGATATAGAGATTTGCAGAAAAGCTGTGGTGCCAGTGGCAGCCAGAGTATTGAAGAGCTGACAATAAATTGAGGCTGACAGGCAAAAACTTAACATAATATCACATTCACAAGAACAGTAACTTCATATCTGCAACAGTGGCCTTTTCCAGAAATTTCACTTATTATAACTACACATCCACAAAGTCCACAGATCACACATTGTCCACACATTTTATGGACAAATCCAAATTGACAACATCAGTCCACCACAGACACATACCAGAATTATTTAATTTGATATTAACCTCATTTAGAATATGTGGTTCAAGTTATGTAAAACAGATCATTTTTCCCAAAGAGAGTGAGTAGGTGAACTGCTGGCAAACATGTGTATTATATTTTAAAATAATTTCTGCTTGAGGAAAACATTAATTAGGAATTGACTCTTTAAAACAGCCATTTTCCTGTGGTCCTCTATCTTTAATCTTCTATATTATTGTCTCTCAGAACTTCAGAAACACATCATATTTTATGTGGAAGGTCTTCACAAGAATTTCTCTAAAATATACACAAGATTACTTACACTTGATGTTTTGACTGACTCGATGCTGATGCATTACTGGTTATTAATGAAGTGCTAAGGACACCATAGATCTCATATTTCCCATTAAGAGCCATTGATATTCCAACTATAACTGCAGGGATCCCTGTCAATGGAAGAAATTGTGAAATGCTATGGTCAGAGTTTTAGAATTTGAAAACCAATGTATAAGGATTTGAATACGTAAGGCTACAAATCTCTCTCACAGTTGAAAAACAGGTTCAGCCACTAGTTTTGAACAAGTAGAGCACTGCAACATCATTGTCAGCTCTGTCATGGACCCACCAACCAATAGTAATGAGCTGCACCAGCATAAAGATGGCCTAGTGTAAGTGTGGTTAAGCAGTGAGGTGGACAGCATGACTAGACTTCTGGCTGCAGAAGGACGGGACACAGAGATTCCTCATCAGCTCATGGAGGTGTAGAGACCACATGTCATGTCACAGAAAGTGTTGTGGGGGAGGTGTGGTACCTTCAATTTAACTATAGAGGAAGTTAAACAAGCCAGATAAGTGGGTGTGAGTCCATGTCACAATGAAGGTAGAATTAGGGAAGGCAGAAGTGAGAAATGTGATGTTGCAGCAAGGAAATACATTACCTCCCTGTGTGCTTTTGTCATTCGCTTGTTGGTGTACTGCAAAGTGCACACCCACTGGGGACTAAAGCATTTAACAGTTGATCACCAAACCACCTACACAGGGCTCTCTCTTCTGCAATGCAACACACTGTCATCAGCACCCGTTGACATTAATAAATGAGGGGTACCTGATGACCCACCTCACAGACCTGACATGGCAACCTAAGGATGTCCATCTCTCTGGGATGAGCTGTAGCAAGCAGCTAGGCCTTATCATCAGGAGCTTGATAAGAACATCTGCTCTGTCAGACAGGAAGTTTGTTGTCACAGGAGGACACAGCATGCAGAAAAGGGCTGTGTATTATTGCTTTCTTCTTAGTTAAACCTGCACATTGCCTTGGGAGCTCTTGCTAAGTTATTTGTTGGAACTCCCATGCGCTTCCTTCATTTTGATTTTTTGGAATCTAATAAGAGCCACTAAGAGCCTCCTAATTGACACTTCACAGAACATTCCAAACCTCTTTGGTATTTCTTTTTTACTTTCCTCCATTTATGGCGCAGGGTTTTCTTCCACTGGCTTTTCTTTTTCAATTTAAAGCCAAGCCTACTCTACCCAGAGTGCTCCTCTGCGGGTTCCCATCAGTGTGTCAAGAGCCATCAAGGAATCGCAGACGTTTTCAACAACACTAACGCGCTGTTCCCATCCAAGTTAGAGCACAGTCGATTCCAAACCAATTTAACGAGCTTCATTTGCATGACTAATGAATCACATAATGCGTGCAGACATTTACAGCACCTGCAATCATTTAAGAGGTATGATTTTGGGACTTTTTTCTGTCCCAAAACTAGTAAGCCTGGTTGATTTTGCTGTGCTGTAGAGCAGTGGTTCTCTAAGCTCTATGGTCAACGGACCACTTGCACCAAGTCATAGATGCGGTGGACCTCCTATGCCTACGTCCACTTCTTACCCTGTAAAAATCATCACCTATTAATGGCCTTAAATTAAAATTGAATTACATTTTATGAAAGTACTAATAATTTTATGAACAAAATTGCATATTTTGCAAATGTTTTTATTACTTAAAAAGTTAATGTGAAGAATGGAGCTGCTTAGACATGCTTTAAGAAGGATGAGTAGGTCAGCCCGCAGACCACCTGGCGCACGCTCGCGGACCAGTGATCCACGGACCACACTTTGAGAGCCACTGCTGTAGAGGTCCACAGAAATTGCTCAAACTGCATGACTGTCCATCATGCTCTCTTACCCCATCCGGCCACAGACAGCTTGGAGATGTAGTGCCGAATGTACGTGTTGAAGACTTTGATCATGAGCAGGTACAGGTGCACTGCCTCGATGGCCATCCAGGTGAAGCAGGAGAGCAGGGAGTAGTGCATGAAGACAGCAATGAAAGTGCAGAGCGTGCTCATTGCCTTGCTGGTTAGCCACTCGTTCAGAAGGAAGGTCATGTTTAGCATGTACAGCGCAGCGCTCAGACACACGTGGATGGTGTAGGAGTGATCTCGTTTAGGGCTCCTGGGCGGCAAACAGATTTTGCCCATGTTATTGATTTCTTACAAGGCCCCTGACTTTCCTCACCATAGAACAAGCAAGTCATTTCATCGTAATCTCTCCTGTTGCCAACAGGCAATCCAGTACGCATATGCAATACTACTCCTATGGTTTTGCACGAGTGGTGGTCTCTTGTTATAGTCAATTTAAAAGTTTGTTTAAAAAACTATTCACTTTTTTTCTTTAGAATTAAACAACATCTAAGTTGTTTTTTCAGAGCATTGCTTAATATCACTGTAGGTGTTCCCTGTGCCACATATGTTTTGGCTGTAATTAATAAACCTATTTTGCTTGCTGCCCACCTTGCAGCTGCTGCCCTAATATCTGGCTGGGCTTAACAGCCTACTGTACAGTACCTGGGATTCCCCAAGGCCCAGGGTATAACTCTTGGCCAGGATTCCCTTGTCCTTCCATGCTGCAGTGACCTGTGGAGCTTGGATAGCCAAGCCTACTGACAACCTCTGATTATAAGGTCCTGGGGTCTAAGAGAAGGGGCAATTCTAAATTCATGCTTCCAACCTTTACAGGACAGCAGTACACTGAAGGACAAGTACACAGGGACAAATTAAGAACAGAACAACATGAAGTCATCAATAAGAAAAAGAATTTGAACTTGTACAATAATATGTATGTGTATAAATGCATTCATGGCCTAAGGCATTGTTAAGTGACAACTAAGATCGAACGCTAACTATTACACTGAACCGCAATAACATAGTTTGAGACAAAACAGAAAATGCAAGCACTGAAGCACTGACCTGAGTATGAAGTAAGTTAAGACTGAAATAGCAGTAAACCCTGCTGACAGCCCACAACCGATGTAGCTGAGAACTGACAGAATCTGCCAGTCTGGCTCACTGATTTTACCCACAGGGACCTGTGGAGAAATGCCAATGTATGTTTAGTTGTTTTCTGCAAGTATTATTGACTCTGAAAGGTTGTTCTTATTCTTTTATTTTAGCTGGGGTGTGGGGTCTTGATGAAAATATGGTAGAATTCCAATTCAAATGACTTCTTCAAGGAAGCCCATTTAATAATCATGGAGTTTCAGTATCATTATTGTGTAATTTTATTTGGGAACTGACAGGACTACAGGGGGTGACACAATTCTGTATTGTCTATGGTTATACATAGATAATTTCTCGTTATCGCTGTTCTGACTATTATTAAAAAATCATTGTAGAATATATGTGAGGCTACAAGCTAGCTAATCTGAAATACAACAATTTCATAGGAAAGTTTAAATGTGCAATTGCAGTAGCTTTTGTATAAAAAACAAAACATCTACTTTTTAACACCCAGGCTAATTTTTGCTAATCATCTACAAGTGAACATTCAGAGATCACAGGGCAAGAAAACTTGATTTGGGAGCTACACATTGACATTATGCCTATCCAGGTATTCATGCTGCCCCATAATCACAATGTCCCATAACGTGATTTAAAATCTGAGGTATAGGGTTTCCAAATATGCACAGCCAGTAAATCATAAAAACACAAAACACCAGAAAAGTAAAAAGGAATGGGAGTACCATGAGGACTGCAAATGGTGTCATGTGGTTGCAGGTACAAATGACGGTAGTGTTTGTTTTATTGGTATTACATCCATCAGTGCTCCATACTGACTCTGGAAAGGGGGTAGTTTTAAAGACATGAACAACTCTGTACTCACATACAACGTAATACATCTAGTCTTAAATAGTCTTAATAGTAATCCATTCATAGAATCTCTGTATGTCTCATAGTTAAAAAGGTGGTGCCAACCTGACGTTTTTCTATGAAAAAACATTCAAACAAATTGCCATTGTTCACTTTCTTAATACATTGGATAAAAGCTGCAACTGAATTTCAGAGATATTTAAGCCCAACAAAACTGATATTTGATATTTCTTTCAGTTTTGGCAGATCTTGTATTATAAACTGTAAATGATATCGCTGTACATGTAAATGAATGCTATACACCTTAAAGTCAAGCTTGATTAATAACTTTGTATGAATACATTATGTCTGTTTCAAGAAAGTAAGTACTTCGAATAGTGTTTAATCTTCCTTATGTACTATGTCACCTAATGAATTATTTTACAGAACCTGAAGTAATCTAAATTGCAGGGAAAGACTACAGTTTAAAAAGGAAAAAACATAGCTTCCCTCTCTTAGCACCTATAGAATAAGCAGCTTTTCCTCTTTAATTTATTTTGAAAAAAGGGAAGATCATCTTAAATATGAAAAAGCAGTTATCCTGGACAGGGTGTCATTAAAGGGTTTGCAATATGTTGGAATTACAAACAGTATAACTTTTAAAGGATTTTAAATTGCTTTAAACATTTACCTGAATTGTAGAATTTACATGTTTCTGTGTAATTTGCCTGTCAAAGAGAGAACAAATTAAAAACAAATTAAAAAATTAAAATTATATTAAAAACAAAGCCTTAGAACAACAAAAAAACTTAAAATGCTGCAATTTTGACAGTGGGGATACTTACATCAGTTTTGTTGTAGAGAGGGAAATTCAATGTAAGTGGGTTTTTCAGTCCAGAAATAGTTTCACCAACCACTTCTATTTGTATGACCATGCTCCTCACTTCCTCACCAGCTGCAGTCTGTAAAGATAGAGAGGGATAGTACAGATCCCAGCTATTAAATGCATATTTGTAAAAGTATCTAAGATGGAAGGCTGCAACTCTCATCTGGCAACCCACAGAAGCTCAGCAGTATGAGCCTGGCCAGGACCTGGATGGGAGACCTCCTGGGAAAGCTAAGGTTGCTGCTGTAAGAAGTGTTTAGTGGGGCCAGCAGGGGGTGGTCACCCTGCGGTCTATGTGGGTCCTAGTGATGGCAACCCTAGACTGTAAAAAGGCACCTTCCTTCGGATGAGATGTAAAACTGAGGTCCTGCCTCTCTGTGGTCATTAAAAATCCCAAGGCGTCTGTCGAAAGGAGTAGATATGTAACCTTGTGTCCTGGCCATATTTCCCCACGGACTTTACCAATCGTGGCCTCCTAATAATCCCCATCTATGAATTGGCTTCATTACTCCTCCCCACTGAGAGCTGGTGTGTGGTGAGTGTTCTGGCGCACTATGGCTGCCGTCGCATCATTCAGGTGGATGCTGCACATTGGTGTTGGTGGAGGGGAGTCCCCATTACCTGTAAAGCGCTTTGAGTGGAGTGTCCAGAAAAGCGCTATATAAGTGTAAGAATTTTTTATTATTAGACGCATTTCGTATTGCATGACAGGGACTGAACTTCCCAGACTTAAATGACAGTAAAGAAACAAAGTACACTAAAAGGCAGAAAATCTGAAAACACAAAAGCCCTTTTATTAAAATATATATTAAAATCTATAAAATTATTATAAACTAACCTCTTAATTACCTAACCCTCTTGAAACAATGGCATCAAATGAAACAAAAAGGATGCACACCAGGTTTTGACAGAGAAGGGTGGGAGGCAGATGCATGTAAAATGAATGGAAAATACAGATAAACTTCCCATCCATCCATATTCTAACTGCTCTATCCATTCTAGGGTCTCAAGGGAGCCAGAGCCTATCTGGGCGAGGAATGGGGACAAAGCAGGGTACACCCTGGAAGGGATACCAATCCATAACAGGGCACAAACAGACACAGACAAGCACATACTCACATCATGGACAGTTTTCCCATTAACCAAATTAACCTACGATTATGTTTTTGGACCGTGGAAGGAAAACGCAGCACCCAGAGGAAACCCACACGAACATGAGGAGAACATACGAACTCCGCAAAGATGGCACCCCAGGTCCGGAATTGAACCCTGGGCCCACTGACCCCAGGGTGAGTTAACAGTGCTAACCCCTGCACCGCTGTGCTGCTCTCCTCAAATTTTATCAGTGTTTAAAATGATACCTCGTCTTTAAACAAAACATGTTGACAATTTAAATGCACTGTACCTTGAACTGATCTGCTGATTCAAAACATGCCACCGCAACTCTTTTTTCTGTATTATTGTTGTTTTTAGAAAGTGCTTCCAGGGGAAACCGTATTTCTGGTGTGTAAGCTTTTTTCGTAGTAGAGACCTATAGAAATGAAGAGCAATTACATTTTTAAATCAATGCAAAAGAAGTTGATAAGTAACTTCAGGTTTTTCACTTTGTTTCAGTGCCTTGAAAGCAGTCACTCAGAGAGCGCAAACAGTGGAGAAGCATGTCCACGTTTTGTTCTCGCACGAGAGGTACAGATTGAAACACAAAGTCAACCAGACCCACATATCGAGAAAGGAGACTCTCATTAGAGAAAGGAGCTTTCATGGAAATATCACCATGAGCTGACAGAAGAGTAGGAGCACGAAGTCGATAAAAAACTAATTACATGGGAATAATAGCAATTTCAAATTCCATTCAATATTTTAGATGCTGACAGAACATTTAAAAACATAGTCCAAATAGAAAATTGCAATAAGTTAGGCTTCGTTTAAGGACTACAGGATATAGGGGTACTGCATGACCTGATTTGGGAACCCCTAAACCATTTTTCACAAACAAAACAGTACCATAATACCAGTAGTATTACATCACCTGAAATGCAAAATAAAAAATACTTTTTAGATTGAATAACTAGGCTTATCAAGAATCTGATAAACCTTTCATATTTCACCTCTATAACCACATACACTCTACAACAGTGGCACAATTATTCACTTTTCTTTAAACTCAAGAGGATGGACCTGTAATTTAACATTTGAAAGAAGTGGGAGAGGGAGAGGGACAGAGCTGGTGCAGAGAGTGTCCAGATGAAGAGAGATCTGGGATTCTTGGAGGGAATTGTGAAGAGCTGAAATCTGTAAATGAATGGAGAGGCTCTGAGAGAAGAGGGAAGGGCTCATTGAGAGAAGACGGAAGGTTTATGGAAATCTTGGCTTCTGATGTCTATCTGGACTAGTTCTAGAATCCTAGTAAAGAAAGACAGACAGAAAGGTCAGGGAAATCAAGGGTCAGAGATAATAGGTTTGGAGAGGTCCTTGATTCCAGCTGCTTGGCTGTGTTGTGGGAAAGGGTTGGCTAATCTTCACCCTATTAAGTATACTGTACATGTGATATTTCACTTTACCTGTGGCATAGCAATATCAATTTCTTGTGGTGTTGTGCTGGTGATCTTCATCTTGTACACAACTATTGCTACTTCTGGTGTAGTGACAGTAATATTATTTCCACTGAAATCCATATTCATTACATTCTGTATGATCTTTTTCTGGATTCTGTGAACAAAAAAAATTAAACTAAAAATAGCTAGGGCAGGCACAACAGTGATCAAGCCGTCTCTCATAAACTCAGTTAGCAGGGTCCCTCAGATGCAAAGCATGTTAGTGTCCAATGTTCTCTAGCTATTCCAGATATTCCTGATTTGTGTGTTAAATGCAAATTTCACCCTGTGGAGGTTTGTCCTAAAATCGTATGTTCTGTGATTATTCACAATTATTGTCCCAAAACTCTATACAATTGGTCTTCATTCTCTTAGGTCTGACCTACATATCCAGGAAAGGAAAATGGCAAATCTATGTTTTCTTTATGTCAGAGCTGTGATTGATGTGCACTGGAAGAGATATGAATAGGCCTGGAGTTGACTGCCTTCCTGTTCTTTTTAAATGGGAAATGTGTATAATACAGAGGAGGTCAGATTCTTTCCAAGCTGCTCAGTCTTCCATCCTCTAAGTCCTGCTATCTGATGGGGATTTCTGAGCTCTTCTGTTAGGGAGGAGTTTGTCACCTAAGCAAGGCCGATGGGTAGAGCTTTCTTTCTGTGTTGTTCGTTGCATTGTTGCTTTGTTTCCTCACAACATAACAATCATACAGAAAATGTGGGCACCTACTGTAAATGAATGGATACAGATCTCACTTTTTGAGTGATTCACATTGCATGAGGGTTCCTGAATTTCAGCTTTATACTGAATCCTAGTAAGAGATCTGCCCCATAGTCACAATGTTATGAATTCACTTATGCTGCAGTAATCTCAGATTCACCTCCTGTAATTAAAACAATCCCAGTGTTCCCAGTTTTGTTACTGTTTCATTTTTGATAGTAATGTAATTGGACACTTGTAATATTCACAATGCTTAAGGTAAGTTTTGCTGGTACAATATAACATATGCAAGTTGAAAAAGTAGTGGTAACTGAATATTATTTTATACAAACTTACTCATTGTACGTGTATGTGTTGTTCAAATCTTCCGTGAAGTTGCAGGATTTTTTCAATATTGGAAGCTTTTGTATTACATCCAATACATTGGGATTGTTTTTGAGACTGTTTAGAGTATTAGTTATGTCCGATTCATTGCAAACAGTAATGTTACAAGTAGAACTCGTATTCCCTGCAGAAAGATATAATCAGGAATACAAAATTGAAGTGCATTTAAAACCAAGAGAGTATGGAACAAGTTTTTCAGGTCTGTTGTTGAAGCTGAAACCCTGTTTCCTTCAAGAAACAGCAGAACTACTAACTGCCTAACAGGCAATATAGCAATATATATTGCTTTGGTCTGTAACTATTCTTACGTTACCTATAACCTGGAAGAAATAGTATTGCTGGGGGGAGATAACAGATATATACAGTGACAGATAAAAGTAATTTTAGCTTTAATTTGAAACTGGTAATCATTTTGTTTATTAGGTGAATCAAGTAATTTCTCACAAGGGGGACTTTTAGTAATAATAAACTTTATTTCATATTGCACCTTTAAAAGTGGCTTCTCAAAGTACTTTACAGTTAGAAGAAAAGCACACAATGAGAGGAGACAGCAGAATTACACAATTACAATAAGGGTTTGGAATCCAGTAAGAAAGCAAAGGTGCAAACACAGAACCAATTAAATAAAAGCTCTTCTAAAGAAGAAGGTTTTGAGTCTTGATTTAAAAGTCTTCAGGGAAGGTGATTCTCTGATATCGTTTGGGATAGAATTCTAGAGCTTTGGGGTGCAGCAGGACACGGCCCTGTCCCCTATAATATACAGACAGGAGAGTAGAAATAGACTAACTAACTTTGCTTGGCTGGAAGGTGGCACAATAGTAAATCAGACAGGTACTGAGGTGCCAAGTCTGTGGAGCCTTATAGGTGAGTATGAGCATGTTTGCACGTGAGCAGTGAACATGTACAGTACTGACCTCTTGTCAGTGCATCAGTTATATCTGATATAATTACGCTAGATGTGCGTTTGGAGGTGTTAACTTATATACGGTAAACACGTCATCATCATATCACTTTCAATAAGCACTTATCCAGTTCAGGGTGAAGGTGCCATGGAGGCTATCCTGGGAAATATTGGGTGCAAAGCAGGATACACTCTGGACAGGATGCCAACACAGGTACTGAAAAAACTACTTTGAAAAATGTTAATGAATACTTACAATTTTCAGACGCCACTGTGAAAAATGAATTCCCCTGATTACTGGATATCTGCATTTGGCTGCAGTTGGCTAATGTTGAGTTTATTTTTTGAGAAACTTTTGTGCAATCTATGAAACAGTCTGTTCCATTGAATTTGCATGTCACTGTTGGACTAGTGAAAGTCTCTTTAAGAATTAAAGTCAATGTATTTAACGTCGCATTGAAGGTAAGTTCTGAAGTATTTCTATTGTAACACATAGCCGCATTTTCTGAAAAACAAAAGGAAGAGGGACAAATGCTTATTAGGTAGCATTCAAAGGACACAGCATCTAATTAGATGTTGTTCAGCCACTAATGTTGCATGCAGTTCATGTACAAACACAATTCAGTTAGGTTGACTCGTAAAGTAAAACGCTGTTGTATTAATGTTGTCATGGTGTAAAGTTTCGCAGAAGTAATATTTGTCTGAAAAACATCACTCGAAAAATTAATATTTCAGACAGTGGAGTACAATGTCAAGTTCTATTACCTTCTTAATCGGGAATCAACATTCTCTTCCAGCAGGCGTACAGTACATGGTAACACACTGAGCACGTTTTGCAAATTAGCACTATTTGATTCTCAGTTACAGAGTCATCATTTACAGTACTTAGGTCTGCTGTGTTAATAGAAAGTGACTACAAGTAAGAATAAAGAAAAATAATAGTTCACAAGAATATCTGCATTTTAATTACCAGTAAGACAGTCAAGATCCATCATAAACTAGCCATAACAAGTCTCAAGTGGAAGCTTTCACAAGTGAACACTAGACTCAGCTATCAAACGATTATGAAACTAAACAAAAATCTGTTCATCTACACCTAGAAATGTGCAAGACGATCTGAATACAATTCTTTTTGGAGAAGCTTGCTTCAAGGAAAGCAAGGAGGTTAACACAGAATGATGCACAATCCAACCCAAATATCATCTTCTAATTTATTACATACCTTTACTTCTTGAGAAACAGATGGTGCACATAAAGGTTGTGATGGTGACCAAATAGAAAGACCTCACTGTGTTCCTTATGTTCACCATTGTTGTGTCTGTAGAGGAGGGGAATAGGAAGAGTGAAATTATTTCATTTGCCGAGTCTTTGCATTGCCCTACTGAAAGCCTCAGTGGCGTGCTTCATGACGAAACAAGCATGTGTGAGGATAAAAGAGCATTGTAAACATCAGCCACTGTTTCAGCTAATAAAGTGGGTGTCTGAAGCAGACTAGCCACCATGTTCTTAAAACCAGTATCCTGGGATTCTCCTGGATAAAGGCGGTGATCCTCAGATCAGTAAACTGCTAAATAAACATTTAAATGGGCAAGGTGGGTGAAAAGGATTACACTCATTTTTAACCTGTATAGAGATCTTTTGGGGGGGTTCTATACAGCCATAAGATACTGTATAAGATAAGAGATTAAGATCACTTTATTTGCCATATACAATTTCTTGCTTTGGGAATTCATCTTTTTCACATACCCCAGCTTTCTCTCCATGAGACACACAGACATGGAGAGACACTGGGGGTCAGAGCACTGGGTCAGCCATTGTACAGCACCCCTGGAGCAGTTGGGGTTAAGGGCCTTGTTCAGGGGCCCAACGGAGTAGGATTCCTCTGCCGCTAGCAGGGTTTGAACCAGCAACTTTCCAGACACAGGGTCAGAGCCTTAGCCACAGTACCACCGGCTGGACTCGGAGCCTTGCCTCAATTAACTACTAACTACCAAGTGGGCTGGGCAGTGGTTGTCTGCTCTTAATCAAATTTACAAGTACGTTTTTGTAAATTCAACAGAATCACGTCTACTTCAGTATACTGATGTTTATTTGCCTATTTAGTGGACTTTCAAAGTGGGAGAGAAATTGCTGAAGGTTAAAAATCATCACAATTTCAAAAAGGAACAAATCTGGTTTATTTACAGGGAAATGACAGACAGATGCAAAAATCCTAGAATTACGTAGACCACCACATAGAGGCAACAAGAACAGGCACAATACTAAACACAGAAAAACATATGTATCCTTCACCCTCAAAATCAGCACAAGACCTAAAAATACTGTCTTCTCCCTCTTATTCCATTAACTCTCAACCCCCTAACACATCACAGTAATCCTCCCACTTTTTCAGGTGGGCCAGTTACATGAGCAGGCATTGCCATTTCAACCTAAAACAAAATTAATAAAATCTGTTACATCAAAAACACAAAGTAAAACAATATCCGCATTCACTTGTGAGTCGAATCTCATCGGTAAGAAAAAGAAAAAAAAAATGAAATACATTTATAAGATTCATGGCTACTATTGTTACACTTTATGAAGGATTTGTGTTCATATGAACTGTATGTGTCTGCTGTTTACTTTAACCACAAGCCTCAATGAACAACATGTTGTTCTGGTGTTAACGCCTTTGTTCTCATTTTTACGCCCAAACTAGAGGTAACGACTAACATTTTCACTTCCAGAACTGTGATACACATTGACACGCACTTGTCACAAATCCAGCCTATTCATTGCCTATATAATAAATAAGTCTGCTCACACCTGAAGAAGGCTCCACGGCCGAAACGTTGTGTTCTCTTTCTTCTTTTTTTCAGCATGGAATAAACCTATTACTTGTTCCTTTGCAGCCTACGCATGCTGACGCAGCTACCCACCTGAACTAATAAATAAGTCACTCTGCAAAGTAGAAAAAACTCTTCAGAGACAAATAAACTGTATTTTTAATAGTCAGACCACGACTCCTCCTCTGCCAGATCTAAAAAAATTCATCAGGAGGATATCTGAAGTTGGGAAAAGAGAAGTGCACAATGTTACATTAGCAGGAAGGAGACTGAAGAGGTGTATAATGCTGAGTATAATGCTATACAGGTACAAATACTCCCCCCTCTTTATGGAATGTCCTCTTTTGTGAGTGTTTAGATATGGTGAACCAAGCAAACCCCACCTTACTCGAACATCGATAAGGATGTAACTCACATAACAAGAAACAGAAATCCTTTCATTTTTATTGGGGATTGAATGTTTAGTACTGTATCAAATTGTATATACAGTATAATATTCACAGCATTCATTATTTATAGTATTTGAATTTCCAAGACCGCATTTTCTGAGGTAATATTTTTCTGTGATTTTCTTAATACATACTGTACAGCCTCTGGTAAATGCCTGGTACTTTTCACTTCTGTGCCATGCATAGATAATGCTAAACATGAATGGATTTATAATTGCGAAAACCAAGCAAGGTCCCAACTCAAGCCTAGAGATTCATTATCCCAGAGCTGATCCTGGTTTCTGTAGCATTAGGACGACTAAGACTATGTAACTCTCCACCTAGAATGGAAATGCTGGCACCCACTTGTACACCTGCTTGAGCTGGAGCAAGTGATGTAGGGCAGGATACCTTGTTCAGGAGGAGAGCCCCAGTATCCAGACTGGGCCGCTTGAACCCACAGGCATTCAGTTATCCAGACCCTCACCACCACTCTATGCTGTTCCCAGCCCAGGATCAACAATACCGCAAAAGAAAACATTACCTCATTAACATTCCATCAGTATTACATTGAAAAGGTATTACCTCAACATTGCTTGTGCCAATCGTAGTGTCAGTCACTTCGCAATTTGTTTTCTGAATTATTCTGGAATAATTATGAACCATACTTAGATTAAGCACTTCAGGCTCCACCCTTAAAGCAGCCGTTTTATGGTTGTTAAGCAAGAAGCTGTGCGTCTACATGATCTGTGGTAGCTTCCCATGTCACATCGATCTCACCTGAAGAATCTCATCAGCCTGTATTGCGAAACTCCAAACTTACCTTGCAAAATTGTTTTTTCACCCAAAGACTGAACTCTATTCTACTATCCCCATTTGATGTAAATCCCTCACTGTCATGTTCGTCTTCCACTAGTGAACTCGCCTAGGCAGGAGGCGCGTTCTGATATGCGGGAATTTGCATACATGGATTTAAATACCAGGCGGGCTTGAAGTTCACAGCTTCCTATTGTCTGTCAGTGTAGATTACCTTGCCTGTTATGAAGCGATTTTCTAATGATAAAATACACAAACAATTCCATGCAAATGTGAGACCTAGCTATGAAAGGAAATGTTATTAACGTAAGTGTGGTGAACACAATGACCTGTCTCATGCCACCGGTCAGATGGAAGAAGTTTTGACGTAACTGTTTGTGTAATGCAAATGTCTGGGGGCAATGTGTTCATTTTTTCACAGTAAACAGGTATTTACACACAGACTAAACTATGACTTTCAGGAGGAAGATGGGAATTCAAATCTTTAAAGCCTGTTTTGTTCAACTCAGGAACTACGCCTGAATTGCTTAAATTAATTTCCATGTTTGAGCCTTTTGTGTTGAAAAAAGGTGTAAATTGTACTGCAATATTTATTAGGTTTAATTTAACTAAGGGCCATTCCAGGTAAAATAAACATTTTAGGCTGCTTGCCCTGTCTATCACTTATTGGGGGCTGCCATTGTATTGAAGAAAAACAACATTGACTTACTGCAACATACCGAATTCACACTCCTTTCCGAATAACACTTGAAAGCCTGGTGTGACCAATCAAAAGATAATGGCACTCTGTGCTGTGAAAATAACCAGTGTGCCTAATATTTAATTTGAATGTTCTGAATGAATTCACATTTAATTTAATGGTCAGGTACATCTCCACATGGGTGTAGGATTATATGGAATACAATGATGAGTATAGAACAAGACTTTTAGTAGAAAAAGTAATGTTTATTGATGGGTTCAACTTTATATATTAAAGCTCTTTAATGACTATAATTAATAACAAAATAGTTGTTTCGTAACTTCAGTGGATTCACGTCCCTTTGTGATTTTTTTCCTGCACAGTGTGGAATGAGGACAGGAAGCTTTTTGAAAAGAGTAGTTTCAACAAGCATGAATTGCAGTTATTCTATCTGTTCTAGTAGGTTTCATAAAGAAAAGCAGTTTTATACTTCCAGGTACAGTGATAAACTGGCACAGAAATAGGACAAGGACAAGCCCAGTGAGAAATTTAGCTGAATGGACTCATGAGTATTTGTGAGACCAGGGTGCCTTTGTTAATCAAAAGAAGGTAGGAGGTACGATAAAATACTACTGAATGCAGTAAATTCAACCACACAGCATTTTAAATGACAATAATAACATACAATTACAAAATATGTACATCACTATAAAAGAAGTCATGTTTTCTGATGCCTGATTTCCTGATTCCTCCCCAAAAAACATTTTGCTGCTTGATTCCATGGTTATTTGTAGTTTCTAAAATTTCTTCTAAAAATATGCAATGTGAATGAAAGTGTGATGCAGGCTAAACTTTAAACAGGTTGTTATTATTAGTGTTTTAGTTTGCTCATGGGCATTGTAATTCACTTGAGGAACAAAGATGCCATGACTTGCTGTAATATAAAACACGAATACACAGCCCTTCCCATGATCCTACAATCCCAGGATCCCAGGTATCTTGTAAGAATGGGGGTAATTGTACGTGATAGGAGTAGGACAGATTTTTAACATCAAATGCTTTATTTAAACACACCACAAATTCTTACAGTCATGCCACAAACACATTTTATACCTACTCTCTGAGCTTTTCTCATTTTTCCAGTTAGAGCTAGAAAACAGTCAGATATGTTTTTTTTTAATAGAAATAGATGTTTCTAACAATCGTCAACACAGAGGGAAAAAAAATTCTGGATTGGTGGAAAACAGCCACCATTTCAAACAGAGGCTGAGGCTTATCCCACTCTCTGGCTATGCAGCTGTCGGAGCTGAGAGAAGTCAGTAGGTACTGAGGACAGTCTAGGAAAGGAACATGACAGGAGGATTATGACATTGACTAGAGTCTTCAGGGTCACAGAAAAAGTTTTCAGGTCTTGGTGCTGTGTGTGTCTGAGCTAGTAGTGTTTGCGCCAGCTCTTTGCTTTGAACTGAAGTACCACAAAAATATGAAAAACCCTGCACAAAAAAAAAGAAAGCCAGAGATTAAAAGCTGACAAGGCAGTTGCGTGGAGGAGTGTTTAGGACTGTGATCTCTAGACTGACAGGTCACAGGGGGAAGGACACTAGACATGGTTGTCAAGTACCAGTCAACAGACAAGAGAAGAGTAGAGTTTATATGATCTGCAAGTGCGGTGTGAGCAGATCTCTGAAAGGGGCACAGTGTTGCAGCGCTGTGGGGGTACTTACCTTGCAGGGAGTTGAGGATGCTGAAAAGATAGAGGCTTGGCAGATTCACGGGCCCAAATGATAAGAAGACAAGGCCCCATGAGGTCCCCAGCAGGCAGGTGATACCTAGTATACCGCATATGTCTTTAAAGGCCTTGCGGTTTTCCCCTGGGGTCTTCCTTGACCTCATGGACATTATCTTTGACACTGTGATACTCAACATGATGAGATTAAAGAGGAACACCAGGACGAAGAGACAAAGGCTTGTCACGTAGTTAACTGTGATGTTATTTATGTAGCACCTGGAAGGCATTGAGCACAAAACAACACAAAAGAAAAGAAAATGGTACTATGATGGTTACATAAACAGTGAATTAGTAGAACTAAATACAGTGCGCTCCATTTATAAGAAAATTATGATGTTACATGTTTTTGCATACCTACTGTAATTCAATATGACCCATAATAGTGATATAATTTTGATACATGGGATATCCTCATTCCAGAGCAGTTCCGTGTGTGTCCATGTTGCTCTACTGTCAGCATGCAACCTTACTGCATTTTCTCATTTGCTGTAGCTCTTAGTGCTTTTTCTTCTTAGAAAAATCTAAAACAGTTTTGTATAAATTTGCCTCATAATCCTCATATGAACCCCTCAGTCCAAGGCAAGGTGTATACAGTAAATGAGCAACTTTAAAAAGTTCATATCCATTTCATTTGCAAAGCCATTTACAGCGTATCAAAGCAAACACAGCTGTAGGTTTCATTGTCAGCTAGATGATAAGACTAGAGAGGAGAATATTAAAACGGGTTCAGAACTCGGATGGCGTTTCTAGCGCAGAAACAGCAGCAAGACAATGCATCAGTGTTCTGTGCCTTCAGGAAAGAGCTGGGAGAGAGTTCCCAATGCTCTGTACTACTGGGAGTGACAGGATACTGTATTCCTGAGGTTTTAGAATCCCTGGGGAGGGTCAAAGAAACCTGAATCCTATCCTGGAAGCATAGAGCTCAAAGGAAGTGTTAAACAGCCCACGTACAGGATGTCATATGAACCACACATGGACAATTTAGGGACACTAAATAACCCTGCTAACGTCTTTCGGAGACAGAAGGAAACAGCTCACTGAACTGAGGGAGAACGTGAAAAATGGTTCTTTATGCAGGGGCACCATCAGGACTGAACCCATTGTCACCAAACAGCTCAGGATAATATCAAAGGTGTCTCACATGAAAATACTGGTCCCATTGTCTTCACTGGTGGGGATTTCTCTCAGCCCGTAAACATCCTTATCTGCACAGACAACCAGAATCACTACAACAGCAGGGAATCCTGGGAAGACAGACCACACAGATCTCGGCTACAGACAGGTTCACAGGAAGCACTAATTAAATTCCGGTCAGACTGCTGTTCAAGGTTGATTTTAAAGAAAGCAAACAAGCATGATTCAAGGTTCTAGAAGAATCAGACAAAGGCTAGAAATATTTACTTATCAGAAATAAATCATTTAAGTGATTATTTAATGACAGTTATTAATGATATGATGAATTCTAAGTAAACCTCCTAAAACTTACTTCAGACCTCCGAGAAAGATATAGAAAGAATACAGGCTTGCTTCATTACAAAAAGAAGGGACACACTAGAGCCTTCTTTATTGAATTATAACAGGTCAGTGAGTTTTCTTGGAAAATACAGAATTTCCGTTAGGGACAGTTGAGTATTTCTCCCACCTGACAAAAGTCCCTTGTGACAAAAATATTTCCTTCCAGTTTTGTTGAACTAAAAAAAATCTGAACATATTATGAATTGTAAAACTCACACCTTGCTCGGAGGATAGACATAGCTGTTAAGAGATATTGAAGTAGGAAGCTGTGTCAGCATGCGAAGGCTGAAAATGAACGGGTAGTTTATTCCATGCTGTGGCACAAGGTTTCGGCTGTGGAGCCTTCTTTGGGCTCTTCCGGGTCCTTATTTTCAGCATGGAATAAACCTTTACCTGTTCTAAAATGGATATTGCCAGGGTGGATCACTAAATAAGTGTCCAATAAAGACTTTTAAAACTTTTTATTTAGTACTTGAATAAAGTTCAATTTTAAGTGCTACAGCATGATTCCACCAGGGGGCCCTATTTCTCTTGCAAATGCCTCTGCCCTGGTTTCACTAACCTGGTAGACTTTGTAGATGGAACAGATGAGATAAACTTTCTGTAATGTCCAGTGTAAACTCAACATACTGAAAAGGGGGTTGTGGGAATGTTAGACACAGATCCATTTCCTTGTATGTTATTATTATTTACTTAACAGGTAATGGGGACTCCCCTCCACCGCCTCTAATGTGTAGCTCCACCTGGATGAGCCAGAGTGTGCCAGTACACTCCCCACACACCAGCACTCAGTGGGGAGGAGAACAAAGTCATAAAGCCAGTTCAGAGATGGGGATTATTAGGAGGCCATGATTGGTAAAGGCCAGGGGGAAATATAGGCAGGATGCCGGGGTTACACCCCTTCTCTTTTAGAGAAATGCCCTGGGATGACCACGGAGAGTAAGGACCTCAGTTTTACGTCTCATCTGAAGGACGGTGCCTTTTTATTTTTGAAAAAAATATAAAGTTACATGTAAGCCTACCCCAACCCACAAGACAGAGCTTGAGGATGTATTTCCTTATGTAAATGCTGAAGACTTTGCACAGAAGGATGTAGAGGTGGAAGCCCTCTATGGCCATCCAGGTGAAGGTGCAGAGCAGAGAGTAGTGCAGCAGAATGGCCACATATCGACACAGGCTGTCGTTCCTCAAGGCCGCCACCTCCTCACTGGGCAGAAAGTGCACATTGAGCAGGATCAGAGCCGTGGCCAGGTTGATGTGGATCTTGAGGGAGTTGTCATTAGTTGTTCTCCTGCAAAGAGGAGAGCAGTGTTGTATTCTTCAGGGCATTTCTCCATCTTTCTCTTTGGAGATCAAGGGGAGGCTTAATCACTTTGCACTTACTGTACGTTTACAGAAAAGAAGTGTCTCGTCAATGAAGTGGGAACAAAACCCAGCCTTTCTGCTCATTAAAGAAATGTAATCACTGTTTGCTAGGGGTTGTGCAACACTTCAGTTGAAAAGAGGGGGCTCATTGAAACAGGTTGCTGTTTTGTTCTCAGGGTTCATGGGGTGGCTGGTCCTCATTATCCCACACTGAAAAAACGTTGGGTTGGGGTTGGCCCCTTTTCGAGAATTTTCTCGGAACAAAGATACCCAGGTTCAGTTCTCAGCCATGAAATCAAGTTTCTATTATCTTAATCGCAACATACTGGGTGATTATCATACATATCGGAAATACTGCTACTATTTATCATAAAACTTAAAGAGAAAAGCTGATCCGCTACAAGAGTTATGAAAGCAAGTGTACGGTGTGATTCTTTCACGGCGTTAGAACGGGGGTGATATTTTCCTGTTGTTTTGGCCCAATTGGGAACAACACTTTCTAGGTGGCTTTTAAAAAAAATACAGAATATATTCATGATGACAACTGTAGCAATGAGCTCAGCAATGCTCAGCCACAAACACTGTTTCCTATCTACTCCACATCTAAAGGAATTAAGTCACTGAAGACTCCTACCTGCCCACGATATACAAGATGATGGTGACAATCAGAAACACAAGGGAAATACCAGAGCCCACTTTTGAAATGATGGTCAAGATTTTCAAATGATATTGTGAGACAGAGGCAGAGACCTGCGAAAGGGAATATGCACACTTACATTTCACTTCAGCAGACTTCCAGATCAAAACCAAATATTAATAAGAGCATACCAGTTATATATTCAATCACACAATAAATCAATCAAGACAAATATCAGTAAAATAACTTAGATCATCATTTGCTTTTAAGAAAACAAGTTACTATTTATTTTTTTCCAAGAAGTGTGTAGAGGATTGAGTATGAGTACAGAAAAAATAAAATAAGGGAGATTTTATTTACTATGTCATCTTTAGGTTAATTAAACAGTGTGGGGGGGGGAGCACTCAAAATAACTGTTTCCTCTTAATATTCTGTAATTTACACATCAGTAATAATTTGCTGTTAATATTAGGGTTATTTTTTAGAATAATATGGACATTATTATAATATGGAAAGGTTTTTCAATGTTATATTGTATATAGTAGAATTAGGATCTTACAAAGTGGCACAGCCAGTGTGAATATTTGACTGGTGTGTTAACTTTGTAACGTTTCAGTTCCAAATAAATTGTGCAGCAATTAGTTATTTTGTAATTATTGTCATATCAATTTACACTCTAACTTTAAATAAATTAGGAGCATGGAAAGCACTCTAATAGTCACAAATATGGTGATCCTCATGCATTTAACACTGAGGCATGAACAGTAACAGTGCAATTTCTGTCGTGAACCTTCACCTGTTTGAATTGTGCACTTGTACACAATAGCTGATAGAGCATAGAGCACCCAAAGCGATGGAAAGGTTCTCTTTAGCAGCATTACATACCAGTAATACAGCAAAATAAGTCAAATGATCGCAGGAGCAATTAATGTAGTCTTCATGTTTTACAGTCTTGCATCCGTAGTCTTTCCAATGGTTATCTGCAACAGAAAGGGAAGATATTTGTTCTTGGACTGATTTACCAAGTTGTACCGTCACTGTCTGTAACAACACAAAGATGTGCTACCTCTGTCACATAGACAGTTAGCAACATTTCTAAAGCGTAATGAGGTACAGTACTTCAAGACTTCACCTTACGAAAGGCTGATGTTTAATCTGAGTGCTGTCAATATGCAATGCTCTAGCAAAGTAAAAGTATCAGTACTCACATGAACTGAAAATAGATTTTATTTCAAGTTGCCTTTGAGCATCCTCGATTGGACTGTCCCAATGGATTGTCTGATGATAACAAATTTGTTCATAGTGCTTTTGATGCCTCTCTAAAGTTGAAGGGCCTTTTCAGTTTTTTAACATCAGGGGACACTAGAGAAATTTATACTTGACCTACCAGTAGCAGTGAAGTCCAAGAAAACGCATTTGGGTATTTGATTCGCCTGGAAGTGGAAAACAAACATCCTTTTATACTGTTTTTATAAGGAAATCATTAATAACAATAACAAATACTAGGATTCATTAATCTGTCTCTGCAAGGGAATGTTATTCCAACTCCCCACTATCACTCGGCCAATACTGACGACTTACACTTGCTGATAAATAGAAGGCCAGCATTCTTTTATTGAGAAAAATGGTGTCCTTACCTTGAGGCTTTCCTCAAGGAAAATGGTGATATTGATAGGGTTCTTCAGGCCAGAGACAGTTGTGTTACTGACACTCACTCCCACTGCCTGGTTATGAAGAATGTTTGCTGTAAACTGGAAAGAAAATCTACTGTACATCATCAGTTGCTCAAACTTAAGATATGTTGTAAATCTCAGAAAGCCCTCTATGGGGACAGATTGGACTGATCATGTACATTCTTTTCAGCTAGTTGTCACGGATGTCGGAAAGGGACGAACCGTGGAGAGGCAGGAGAGCGGAAAACGTTCAGCAGTTCAGGAGTCGAATAGAAACCAATGCCCTCAGGCAGTGGCCGTGGAGCGACCTGGATGCTAGGCGGGTCTCAGGACATCCGAACGTCAATGCAGCGCGAAGGTGAATGAGTAACCCGGAAATATATAGCCCCAGAGAGAGAGACACCGGAAGGACAGCAAAGCACAGGAAACTAGGGACAGGACAGAGCAGGAGCGCTCTCTGGCTGCAGAGGGCATGACGCTAGTAAGTAGTGCTGCAAGGTCATACATGTATATGTAATGCAACAAATCTGAGAAAAATGTCATTGTGAAAAGTTACAGTACTAAAGAACTTACTCAGTTTGAAATATATCCTGCTTCTATGAGTCTTAATTTTAGTGTCTATAACCCCTTATTAAATAATTGAATAAGCCTAGTCCACAGAAGCAATGCTACAGTAAACCTGCAATCAGGGCTAAGGCCAAATCCAAGTAATCAATCAATTAACCGAGTCCTCATTCCACCTGCACAACAGAGGACTTGCAACAGTCAAGTTGAGAAACAGTTGTCGGCCCCCGATTCGGTGGTTCTGAAATAAAAAATATTTAATAGTTGCATCCTTTAAGAACAGAAAAAAGAAAAAGTGAAACAAGGTCTTTTGGCTTACTGTTGCATTCCTCTAGGAAAGTTCAAGTGTCAACACTCACATTCATTTAAAATACATTTTATTTCAAATTGCCTTTGAGTGTCCTCAACTCCCCGACTGCACAGGTGGAATGAGGAGTTGGTTAATTGATCGATTAATTGGGTGTTTATTCTATTTATATAAAGAGTTGTGCTGTCACTCCTTCAACACACCTGCCTCTCAGAGTCACTAGAGATTCAGTAGGTGCACGCTCTGTAGAACATTACATTAAGGGTAACACCCATGTTGCAACAGTGTCAGTCTCTCACTATAAGCCTGCAGATCATCCCAAAGGTCCCAGCAGTCACTGCTGCTCAGGGAGAAAAGCCTGGCTGATCAAGCCACTCAGCTATAGTGGTGCTACCTGTGGATTACCAACTGGCTCATGACATAACCCAGGCTGCAGCCAACAAACAGAGCTCATCCCTTTCACTAGGGTCAATGGCTTCTTGGTTGAGCCAACCAAAAAGCTCTTGTTTGTTTTTCTTTTATGTATTTTACTGTGTTACAGCTTTAGGTGAATGCAAAATTCAATCTGTATACTTCTTGTGTGTCTCTTTACTGATATCAGCAGAAAAAGAGAAGCTAGCATTGGCAAATTCTTAGTAATTCGATGACCTACTTACCTGAAAATTCCCAGTACTCGTGTAATGATTGTGCAAATGTGTGACTTACGTTTGCCTTGTACATGCAAAAAACAATTGTCCTCTGCTCATCATTTGTTAAAATCTCTTGAGGCAGATCCACCCGGGCTTTGCAGTTTTTTATGTTGCTCATTTTTGTAGACGTCTTTGATACAGACAGGCAAAAAAAAAAGAGATCTTTCCATTCAGTGGCTGCGTAACCCAAATTGTTTTAATCTCACATTGATTTTCAAAGCACAGCACTGGGCTCAGGGATAAGCAAAGCCTGCTGTTCATTATTGTCAACATTTAAAACTGCATTCACACTTAAATCATGAAGGGCCCTGACTGTAACTGTAGACTCAAAATCCCACAGCAGCTGGAGAGATGGAGCTGATCTTGTACAGGAGTATCCAGGAGCCTGTATTATGAGTTACTGGTAACTGCTAAAAATGACCATCTCTCTTAGCTGATGACCAGTAAGAACAAACCAATGATGTTGCTATTGTTACATACTGTATATAAAGCTTGGAGCCCTGTCAATGAGTGAATGTGTACATTAATGCAACGCTTCAACACACTTTCAAATCTAGATTTTCTACTGAACTTTCCATGTGGCTTACAAAGCACAAGGAGGAAAGAAGATGGACAATGAGGAAGGAGAATAAGGGAGGAAGAAAGGTAGAAGGCCAAAAAGGAATAAAATGCAGAAAATTGCAAGGCAGAGCAACAAGCTCATGAGAAGATATATGTATTGCTATGTAGGGCCAGATGAAAAGACTTGAGGCATATGAAGTCAGAACTAAGAAAAAGAGAGAGTACAAATTTCCACTTTATGTGGAATCCTCTGTCTGTGTATTAATGTGAATAGCTTACGGTATTCCAATCTGCATATATGCTTAAGCCTTTGAAGGTTTGTCTTTGAACTCTGTGGAGAAATGCCACAAGTTTTCCAGCTTTCATAGACATATAGTCATCAGGTGTATTGTTAGGAAATGTTGTGGTCTCCAGAACGGTTTCTAAACGTTTCACCCACCTGTAAAAGGACAGAAATAGTATCTATAAATGATAAGGGGTGTTCATTACAAAGTAAAAACAAAGAAGCTGCCTGTTAAGAAAGTTCTAAACTGTTTCATTGGTGTTTTTGTGTATATTAAGGATAGAATAATGCTGCAGGATAATAACTTATCAAAATAAATTTCTAATTGAATAGGAAAATTGCAGAATGGTATGTAATTGGTTCAACTGCTATTCTGGACATACAAAGCACAATGCCATGAACATTAATTTTCAAAACTGCTGACAGAGCATTGTACTTTTGTCTAAAGTGCAATTTCCTATTACACAGTTCAAAACAAACTTACGTAGTAGTATCGGAAGAAGGTGAATCAAGCAACTTATCCAACTTAGCCATCCAACAACAGGTTGTAGTAATATTTGGATTTTCTGGTATTGTCCCATTATCTTCAATACTCTCTGTACAAAAATAAAAATGGGACTGTTTACATCTCTCCAGTGACCAGTTTCACATCAGATTTGTACCCTTTTAAAATGGCTACTTTTCCTTGAAAAACAAGGACTGTCAATGAATCCTACCTATCCTACTTATACACTACATTCCCATAAAGAAACTGAAATTTGCCATGTTTTCAGAATCTAGTGCTCTTGTAACTACAATTAGTGGCACCTTCCCTCAGGAGTAAAATAGAAGAGACCTCTATGATTCCTCACTGATATAAAGAATATTGCAGACTGGAACAAGATGCCCAGCCATGTTGCTGAATCCCAAACCCTGGGTTAAAGTAATAGCTGCATGAGATCTTCTGGTCACTCATTGCCTAGCAACCAAATGAGCAAGGTAGACTGAATGGCCTTCTCATGGTTGTAATCCAACCCAAGTTTGAACTTTCTCTCCTTTTTGAAGGAGAAAGAAAAGGAAATTTAAAGGAAGCAGAGCTTGAATAGAGACTCACATTATTTTCTATAGATGGATAATATGTTTAAACTTTCATAACATCTAGAATCCTGATTTACCATTTACTGAAGAATCTTTTATGTTTACATAAGGTTAAATATATATTACACTTTCCTGGATACAACAGGAAATGGGGCAGCATGGGGCACGGTGATTAACATTGCAGCCGTGCAACACTGGAGCCCTAGGTTGAATTCCTAGGGAGTTTGTATGGAGTTTGTACAGTATAATCTCCTTGTGTTTGTGTGGGTTTTCTCTGGGTGCTCCTCCCACAATTTCCTCGCACAGTCCAAAAGCAATGGCTTCTGGGATAATTGGCCCTGGTGAGAGTATGTGCATGTACTGTATATTTGTGGCTGACCTGTGACACACTTGTCTCCCATCCAGGGCATATCCTGCTATGCACAATTTACTTGCCATTATAGGCTCTGGCTCTCCTGCATCTCTGAATTAGATAAAGCATTAGAAAATGGATGGATGGACAACAGAAAATTTAGTAGTTTTAAGTTTTAAGGCAGGTGCACATGATGTAGTAAGATGACCAACAGCTTTCAAAAGGCTGTACTTTAATTTCACTCTATAAGCATATCTTACATACCACAATATGACCAAACACAAAATGATGCTTTAATTTGTTGTAACAGGGGCAAATCTTGAATTACCTTTATATAGTATAGGATGCTAGTGCAGGAATTCACCACAATACATAGAAACCATAATGCCATGTAGCCATAAGTACATAACAGAAACTGCAAACAAGAAGTGGTCATTGCTCCTGTCTTGTTTATTTGGTAGTTTAGCAATTAAGCGAACCTAAACTTCAAGTCAGACACTTACAGTATAAGTGATACATGTATATGTGATGGAAAACACTCAAACAGACAATCAGATTTAAGATCTTAGCTGTGGAAACGTGCTTTGTGGACCAGTGGCTGTTCTGGCACACTGTCCTTTGAGAGTCAGAACAGGTGTGTACTGTAATTGTTCAGCACAGGTGTGGAGCAACAAAATTGCTCTCTAGGCTCTGACTTGGTTTAGGTACGTTTTAGTTTGAGTGCCCACAAAAAAGTTTGGGTCTGGTTTCTCCGTCCTTCTTCAATCGATGAAAGACATTAAATTATTAAAACAAACCATTGCAGGCACAGGTTTGGGTCATGTGTCCACTCGCGAAGGAGGTCAGGAGGAGAGCAGGCAACAACCACACTGTGATGGAGTGAGTGTCCATCCTACAACACATGAACAAGACTCAAACTCAGACAGCAGGAGCAACAGTGTGTTTTACCCCCTTTCAAACAGGCTGTGTTATCGCAATGTGAATGTCCCATGAATGTCACAGCTTCGTGTGAGTGCTTAGATTGTTCACATCTGCTGAGTAACATACAACCTGGTGATCTCCAAATGTTTTTAAAAAAAATCTCAACCTGGAAGGATATTTAGAGATCTTTAGGTTTGAAGAAATAAACTATTCACATGCATAAAATAGTTACTGGTATTACACTATGTATATTATACATGACATGCAAAGATTAATCTACATCTAAATTAATACATTAGTGAACTGCATCTTTCAGTTATAATCCAGTTAAAAGTAGTATCATAGTGGAAATGGGGGTCAGTCTGTACTTCACCCAAGAATGTTTTAATCACTGTTAAAAAGCAAAAGCGCAGGTACAGAGATGTCCTAAAAAGTCATCACTCCTCCTCCTCCCACCTGATGCTGGTGGTGTATAGTGTTCTTTAATGTTTAAGAATGCACAAGTTTAAATGAATACATCTGATGAAATGAAAAACATGTACACTGCCCTCAATCAACCTTCCATTCTCACAAAATATAATGAAAATAATTATTTTAGTAAATAGTTATTACTTGTCTATTACAATGTAGTCAGGCTCCACTGAAAATACAGCACAATAGATTTCAGGCACTGGTCACTTTCTCTATGTTGTGATTGCTCTTTATTCATAAGTCCAGATGTGATCAAAAGTGTAACAAGGAATCTTTTTCTTTCCTTTTTCTGTTCTTAAATCCTGGTATTTCTGCAAGAAGTTATTTCGTTTCTATCATCATCAGGGAATGCACTGCACTGTTTTTGACATTTGCAGCATTTAAAAATAGAGTCTCTTTATTGACAGGAAATTGTGGTAGATTGAAAATTACCCACAACTCCTCATACAATGAGCATCTTTTCTCATGTGTGATATTTTCATTTATCAGATGAGGGCATACACACCCACTTGCCTCATGGTAATGTTCTGCTCTGCAACTGCAAAGGTCATTCAACTTCAGTCCATTATCCTTTTGGCCTGATGCTCTGATGAAATCAGTTACAGTGAGAGGTTGAAGTGTCAGAGGAACCACATGAGTGCATTTTGGTAAAAATTGTAAATTCTGATTCAAAATAGCAAGGGACTTTTTATCTGCATTATTCATCTTCCACAGCACCAAAACTGTAGCAAAAGGGATTTATCTTATTCATGTATGGCTCTGTTCTGAATTGGAAGAAGATTTTAAAAAATGGATGTGTGCTTGTTTTTTTCCCCAATTCAGCATTTACTGTGCCTACTGCAGCTGATTCTCTTTGTTTTCTTGTTCTGCACCTTTTCAGTAACTTCCTCTGTTTAGCAGCAAAAAAAGCTATAAATAAAATGTCCCCTTATCACGTTTATCACAGCGATGGCAATGCTCAGTACTTGAAATTCTTGAAAACATGGTTAAACGCCAAACCATTTGTGCAAAATAAAAGTCAAGCTGATAAAATGTTTGTGGTGGTAATTTCACAAGGGCTCAAACTATGTGAAAAGAATACTTAAGCAATGCACAGACACAAAATCAGGCCAAAGAAAATAAAAATAGCATATATGCTATTTTTGAAAAATATGAAAAATGTTCTCCAACTCTTTCCAGTGAGGATTTACCTTTTGTAAGTGTACAAGATAGTAACTATTTGTCTTTGCTAACATGCCTGTTTCACTTAGCAACAGCATGAAAGAATAAATTGCAGGCACATTATTTGATCTTTTGATACTAATGCTATAACCACAGAATGTTTAGCTAACTTTTGCACTTTCTATTTAGATACTTCCTTTTCACCAAATAAAGGGTGAATTTAATTTCTTAAGAATAAAGTGGTCAATTACAAAGAAGTATTTGTAGAGAAAAGACAACTCCTAATTTGGAAATCTAGAAGGAGCTATGTACTCTGAATCTGCTGTATAAAACCCATTACCTTTGCCATCATCATCAGAGGCTGCTCTCATATCTGTATGATTGTATTCTCTCCATGCGCATTAATAAAGGACTGTGCTGAACCACACCGAACCTGAGTGAAGAATTTTCTTCGACACCAGAAATGCAACCTTCATAAATTGCTGTCTTCCATGACAATCACATTTCTAAATCCTCCCAGGTAAGGAGCACTGCTGAGAGCAGGGTTACTGCACGTCTTGTCTCATCTTCACTCATAGTTTATCTATAATAGAGGTCTTCCAAAAAAGGAATCAGGTAATCAATTAGCTATTATCGTAATGTAGTGAAGTTTTTTATCCATCAATACTTACGTCATTTAAATCATTCCACTTTAAATTGATAAACATTTTATCAATTTAAACATATTTTCCTGAATAGTTTTTTATATTTTAAATATAATATGACACTTGCCCTACAAAAACGTTTGAAGAGTTTTATACATCAATTTATTGATACTGTAACGCTTACGGCCGACAGGCACTGTGTAAGAGCCGGCGTACCAGAGCAGGTGATGTCACCGCCCTTCCCTGTGATAGCAGGACCACAGCTACTGGGCTGTGGGGAGATCTCTCTTTAGCTCACGGGGCTAGGTCGCTGCAGAGAGACGCGGAAGTCCCGGGTTCGAGCCCCGGACGGTGCAGGGGCCGACCAGATGCGGCAAGGGCGCCCGCCTGAGCCCCCGTTGCGTTACAATACCTTAGGAAATTGCCTCATCTTCTCTATTTCTGTTAAGGTACAGGTTTGTATACATACTGTACATTGCATGATAACACTGCAATAGATGAAGGGAGGAAACTCTTTAGGAGACTAGGTAAGAAATTCTTGCATAACAGATGTTATTTGTAGGCTGTTCACACTAATTAATACATGTGAAAATAAAGCATCCTAATGTCAACTGCGGAGTATGATATTTTCACCAGTCCACACACAGAAAAAGGGTATTGTGTGAGTTATTTAAATTATGCCCATATTTGCAGCAAGTCCTTAAACCATTCATGCCATATTTTCTTATATGCAAAAATTCCCCAAGAAAGCTTTTTTAAATTTCATAAATGTATTTAAAACTATAAACCATTGAAAGACTTTTATTCAACATTGGAACACAATTTCATTTCCATGTGCTTGTGTTATCTTAAAGAGAGTCATTAGCAAATTCAGGAGATTGTGATGCTGAAAAATAGGCACAATAAACCAAACCTTCTCTTCCCTAGTGCTCATTAATCGTTTTCAAACTTACGGCCCGGTTACTTTAAATTTTATTGTGAGTGTCACGATTATAGTTCCCCCCTCCTTAAGGGTGCTCCAGCCCTTTCACTTTAGACTTTATTCTGTGCACCTGATCCCTTTTCCCAGTCCACCTTAAAAGCCAGGCGCTGACGCTCATCCTGGCTCTGCATCTGGTTTCCGCACCGTGCGAGTCCGGGACCTGGAAGCGCCTGGTCCCGTTAAGGTTTTAATCTCTGTTCCCGTTCCCTGTCCGCCGGTTCCGACCCGGTTCATGGTTTTAATTCCCTGTTTGGATGGATCTCCTGGCTATGGACTTCCTCTTGTGTTTTTGGATACCCTCTATGGATTACTGTTTTGGATTGTTTGCCTCGGCCACACCTCCCCCGTGCACCAGCGCACTTTGGACACGCCCCCCTGTTTTCAGTCCCGTATTCCTGCATGACGTTTTCCTAGTGTTTCCCCACTTCTTCGGATTGTGTCGTCCGCATAGGGTCCGGAAAGAACTGTTTGTTACAGTGAGATCCACCAGTCCAGTGCAAGGAAGAGAAAACAGCAGAGATGTGCTCACATACTGTAGTCTAACATTTTGTTCTTTAAATCTAAATTGCTTTAAATGGATTACCTTAAACATGACTATTTATTCAAACTTCAAATTACAAACAGTGAACATTGATTCAATGTAAATTTCGTCTTCCAGGTGTCCATTTAGTCCTGCTTTTTCTCAATGTCCTTATTATTTCTGATACTGGTGTTTTATCATCCGTGAATGTGACAAGCTTGCTATTTCCAGAGTCTAGAGTAGGTAAGCTGGTCATTTTATCAGTACCATCTATTTTCTACTTTTGCTTTAAAAAGTTTCACACATTACCTTGGATTTCTACAGTTTCATGTTTCAGGACTTGTCTTTCACCTGGTATTTTGCAAAGCTTTCTGAAAGTTAAAATTGATCATGTTATGTACAGTAGTAGTTTCTAGCTGGAAGAAATCTTCTAATAACAACCTGCCTGTCCTGAATCATGCCATCTTAACAATTTTCACTTTGGTCCTCTTCTGATTTGGTTCCTGTAACTCTTTCCAGAATTTATGATGTAGCTAATCTGAGGCAGTTTTATCTGTTTTTCTTCTACCCCCATTAGTAATGAGTATTATGCAGTGTTAATTTAGTCACCAGTTTTTGACTGGTCATAGTCTTAGTCAAGTCAACTAAACTGCCTGTTAGTCATAGTCTCTCTAGTCACCCGCTTTTATTTTAGTCTAGTTGGCTAAATTTTGACTATAAATTGGTCTTACTTTTAAGTTAATTAAAACAGAAATAGTTTGAGTCACATTTTAGTCAAGAAGGTTAATTTATTTGTGTAATAAAATCATAATAAATAAATAATAAAAATGTATTTGTGCACGTCTGATAAGATTTTGTCTAAAGCACATTTGTACTGATCCTGGGAATGGTCAAACATCAAATACAAAAAATAATGGTGCAATAAAAGGTTTATAATGATCTTATACAGAGGCGAATCTTTTCTAATAAGAAAACCTACAGTATGAGGGATTTTCCAATCGCCAGACAAATCCCCCAACCTTGGGGCCATTGAATATCTTAGAGAGGGATTTGCAAATACCTCTGCTCACTCCTTTGTCTAAAATCAGTCTGCTGCACTAAAACATCTCATAATATCAACTGAAATGCTGAAATCATGTGTAATACAGTCTCAACAGGCGGGAGATGAGAGGGTGAAATGATGAGCATTTTTCTAGCTTTTTTTTCTAGGAAAAAAGCCTAATTAAATTTCAGTAGTTTCAAACCACCTGTGCTAAGAAGATGCTGGACATCTTACCTTCATACGCTGGTCACGGTAGCTCCAGTTTGAGAAGCTAAAGACGCAGAGTCTGTGGTGAGACAGCAAGAGCTAACAGAAAAGCTTCGGTCTCTGCTTACATTTCTACTACAGGAAAACAGGAAATATATTCTCTTTGCTACGCTGCTAGATGTTATTACGTTTTAAGGAAGTTACTCATACTGTATATTTGCATATCAACATATTTATTACTAAAGGAGGGGGCTGCAAGTTTTCTTTCTCATAATTATTTGTGTTGGGTTGTCTTCAATGATCTAACGTGAAGATAAAGGAGTAAAAATTTGGGAACAACAGGCGGCTAATCGTGATGGGAGTCTGAAACTCATTCAGTGATTTTCGATCACTCACCTTTTCGGCAAGATCGTAGGAACTGTGAGGTCAAGTTGTGTTGAGTTCGATAGTCTCAGCGCTACTGGGGTTTGTTCAAATCGTTGTCGAACATTTTTTAGGTTACTTTTTATTTTTATTGTGGTATTTTATTCAGTACGTTGGACAATTAGTAAACTGTGTCTCTATTTTTAAACACGGAGTTTGCGTTCAGTGTACCACACATACTGTATACAGCATGTAGCAATTGCTGTAGCTATTTAAAAAAGCATGTATCAGAAGCCGATGGCGATTAGATGCCTTACATTTCGGTGTGATTAGTTACGTTTCTGATTGGGAACAGTGAAAGGTGTGAATGAAAATGAAGTATGCCTATTTCCTTCATCTTAGGATCTGCACAATATATAGCATATGTATGTAGTTTGTATTGTCCTCCAGTTCATGTTCCACAGCTCATTCGGAAGAGCTCCTTTGTGTTGGAAGATCAGAGAGTCTGTTGATTGCCATGAACAGCGTGGCTCAGCCTGACATTTGCAAATACAGTACAGTGGTCCTGTTGAGACATCAAACACCACACACATTGACCAAAACAATAGGAAGGGCAACAGCAGTGGGTGATTTTATTCCATTTAAAAAAAAAGCATAAATGCTTTCTTTTTTCTTTTCTATAAAAATGCTTAAAGGCAAATCTTGTTGATGACCAAGCATTTTTGTAAATTATTGGCTCATAACGCTCCTTTTACATCTATGTCCATCAAAACATTATCTTAACTGCGAGCAAACAACACTTCAGACACATGACGCCCACTCCCACAGGTCCTGACTGAAGCCATTGTCCGCCTGTAAAGTGCAATAATGTCAAAGCCCTGCAAAGGTATTTTCAAACTCCATCAATCTTCGCTTTTCAGTTGTTTGTCTTAACGTTTATATTTCAAATATATAACTTCTCAGTGTCTCAAATACTCTGCCTATATCATTGGCAGCTTCATGCAAATAAATGTGCTTTATTTGGGCATTTGATCATTTGGGGGAAGACAGGTAGCTTTGAAGATACTGCAGCTCTCCTGGATGGGGCATTGTGATTCAAGAAAACGAAAGTACCATACAGTAAATGTGGGCATTATAGCCAGACTGTATTGATATCGTAATCCTAAGAAATCTTTCTCTGTTCTTTCAGGGTCAGTAGAGAATATATTGTATGGCGACTCTCAGTCTCGGGAAACTGGGAAGAAATATTTTCCCTCTTCCCTCTAAGCTTCAAAGCTGGATCATTTCTGGTTAAGTTTTCTACAGGAGTTCAACAGCACAAAAAACCTGGGATCTCTAAGGAAGTGACTGCTGAAGATTTTGACAAATCCCCCCTCCCCCTATTTGGTTGTGTTAGTTTCAGCTCAGACAATCTCACTGCAAGGTGCCAGCAGAGGTTTTGAAACTGGGATTGAACCTGGGAAATTAAATGGAGCAGAACATCTACATAACCGATACTTCATTTGCCAGTGTTTCAGAGGTTGCCAGGACAGAGTCTGTCTTTAAAAAACATACTGTATAGTAAGTGACGTTTTCCTTATTTAAACAGGATGTTTTTCACATTTTTTAAGAAGTAAAATCATGCAAAGTGTTTCGGTTCCACTGGATACAGCTCATGGACCAGGGATTGTGGTGTTATGTCTGTAGGTATAAACTCCTATCAGAGAAATGAACCAGGGTTCAAAACTGTACATTAGCTCAGTATGTCAAATACCATTATATCCTGTGGGTCACTGTGGGCTTTTTTGCTCTGCATTGATGCTTCCTCTAAAGAAAGTTAAACTGTTCATATTATAATGTGTTTTATCAATTACTGTTCCTAGCAGGAAAAGTACAGACTCTGAAAGAGAAAACCCCAGTAGTGCACAGAAAAAAAAGAACTACTGACAGGCAGTTATAAAAACAGCTGATCAGTAGATGGCGCTATGGATCCATTTTGGTGGGAATAAAGTCTTCATGAGCTTGGAATGATCAAACCCATGGGCTTGCCTTAACAAAGATTTTTTTTCACTGTTGCATGTTATAGAAATTCAGAAAGCCATTATTTCTCTCAAACCTAGTATTTCACTTGGATTACTTAGTAAATAAACTAAAGCTAAAGGAGTTTGTTTATAGGTTATAATTAGGCAGTTTGGGGTGGTGGTGGTATTCCCTTACTACATACAAGTTGTGTCCTATGTACAGTCAACAGCACAAATCCTTATGCTGCCCCACCAATATTCTGGGTAATCTAAATAATTATTACCTATTTACTTTTAATTTAATTCTATAAATAGATCACTCCTATGAGTTTCCATTTTGAAATAACTGCCTGTTGTGAGTGCCTGCTGGCGTTGGTTTGCTTTAGGTGCCAATCGGTTGTTCCCTTCAAACTTTGTGCTGGTTCAGTAAATAGTTTCCAGTAATTAATTTGTCTCATTTTAGCGCATTCAATGGAAAACTCCAGTATTGGTTCGGGAAGTTTGGTTTTTGCTTGCTTGCAGTTTATAATGAGTAAAGCACCCCCGAGCTGGATAGGGACAAAAGCAGCTGGTGTGATATCAAATCAAAAACAAGAACACAGCACACTGCACCTCAGGTACACTGGCCAAACAATTCCTCACAAAGGAAAGCAATACCAGATGTTGGAATGCTCCAGTCTGTCATAACAAACTCTATACATTCCAAGAGAGAGCAATATTAGAATCAGACGCTGCATCGAGTTTTAATTAAAAGGGACTTAGGCAAACCTTCAGGGAGACATTAATGCATTTTCCTGGAAAACACCCAAAGTTTTCTTCCTTTCTTTCTATGAAATGCTGAAATGCCAAATGTTGCCGACAACGAACTGTTTTTGTAACTTTTTCTTGGCAAATGTTCACAATGACAGAGTTCTTTGGCTCCAGAGCAACAGGCTTTTACATCCATGCCCATTAAATACATCTTCCTGAGAGCGGGGCAGGAGCAGAGGGCACTGCCCTGGCATCCTCCTGCCCCGTGTCCAGATTCGGCGGGTGTGGGGTGGGGTGAAGGGTGTGGTTTGTAAGGGCACGGCGCCACCTGTCAACACCAGAGAGCTCCCTTCCCCAGCACTTCGCCAAAACACATCCACTGGCCTGGAGATCCTTCACAAAGGCCAAGTTGCATTTCCATGTAACACATTGTCTTCTCCTGCCTTTCAGCCTGAAAGCAATGTCCAGGCTCTTTCGTCCTGCTGTTATCAATTAGCTGGGACTCTTTTGTACCTGCAGACGTCGGTAGACAAGTGCATGAGAAGTCAGTGCACCACTTTAAATGGATAGCCGCAGGATAAGGTCAATCGGAAAGATCTGAATTCCCTTTACGGCTTTCCTCCATCAGCCTGATCTCAAGTGGGTGGTTCATCAGAGCCGGGGCTCAAAAGTCACAAGACTCTTGCTCCTCTGAAACCTGTTACTCTCTGTGCCTCGGGGGGGTGTTCCCAATATTAACTCAAGCAGCAAGAGAATATTGGTGAATGTGTGCTCTGGTGCAGCTGAAGAAGAAAGTAATTTTCTACTGTCTCCACTTTTGTCTCCATTGCAGAACAAGAGAAAGTCTGATATCCTGGTTAACATTGTGCATTTTGACCTGCCATGAGGGTTAGCCCCATCTATAAAGTGATTCTTGCCAAGGTCCCTACTCTGCCTTTCATCTGAGATTTATAAAAAACTGCAGGGGGCAGCACAATGACGCTGTGGTCAGCATTGCTGCCTCTTAGTATTGGGGTCCTGGAGTGCTGTCTGTGGGGAGCTTGTATGTTCTCCCTCTTTTTTCTTGGGGTTCCTCTGGGTGCTCCTGTGTCCTCCCACAGTCCAAAGATATGCTGGTAGCTTAATTGGCTTCTGGTAAATCTGGCCCTGGTGTGAGTGTGTGTGTGTTTCTGTCAGTGTGTGGCCTGGGATGGACTGTTGTCCCATCCAGGGCGTATCCTGCCTTGTGCCCATTGCCTGCCAGGATAGGCTCCAGCTCTCCTGAGACCCTAAATTGGACAACATGGTTAGAAAATGAATAGATGAATGCATGAGCAGGCATGCTTGTCTGTTTGGAGCCTGTGTGACTTTTAGGAAGAAGTTAATTCAGCTGGGCTGCTCCTTCCTGCTATGCCTTGAGACAACAGGAACAAACTTAGTCAACCCTGAAGGCATATCTGTCCTCTGCTGATTTTAACGAAAGGTCCATTACGAAGGTGTCTCGGCACACTAAGATGTGAAATAGATACCGATGATCTTTAAAGGCTTTTTTCCGAAGGTGGTGAAACTTTGTTCTGTTTCATGCATTGATCACTCATTCCCTTGACTCAATCCTTAATTGTAACAATGGAAGGAAGAATAGCTGGTCATTTCCACCAATCCGGACCAGTGAGTGAATACCTGTGCTGTCAGGATTAAAACCCCCTGCCTCAATTGTGTGACTGTTGATGGTGTGTCTTCATTTTGTCTTTAATTACCTGGTAGAGTATTTGGAAACTGGGGTTTGGAGGAAATGATGCTAACACTGATAAAGACCATGTAACAGAAACCAAGGCTAGGACAGCTTAAACAAACACTGGAGTGTGAACTATGGAGATTTAAATGATGCTTTTTGTTCTTTATTACCTGCTGCGATCTGTAGAGCTCAGATACTGCATCAAATCTTCTGCTTGTTTTCCAATATGACAAAAGGTCACTACTGCTGTTCCCATTTTAGAGGTATTGCAAACCTTAACAACTCATTGAAGATATAACTAGCTAAACCTGCAATGTCATTATTTTGGTGTCTAATTTGGCAATGGCTACAAATATATTACATATTGTGCAAATTGCCACATTTCGTGAAGAGTGCCTTTCCTTATTGTGCTTCCACAAAGCTTCACACTTGACTGTTGGGATCTAGCACTGGCAAGACCTGAAAATCGAGGTGAAAAAAGATTCCATTGTAAAGACAGCTAAAATATACATTCGAAACACAAGTGGTTTTAATATCTATAGTACTTGCTCGCAAATAGTTTTGAAGTCTAAACTGGCTTTAGGAAGACCACACATGTTCACTTTCTGCAAGGCTGCAGCTCAGACATTTACAGGAGCCTGGAGTAGGTCTATAAACAAACACCACTGAAAATTACCCGTGCTGGAAGGACAGTGGACAAATAATTAACTGACACGTGCTTTTCTCCGTATTGTGAAATTGGCACCGCCGAGTTTCCGCTACACGTTTCTTTGGTTGTAGCGTGTGTTTAATCAAGGACTTCTGTAACCTATTAAATATGATTAGACATTAAAATCCGGATAACGCCTGTGTTTTGTGCCGTTTCATCAGCTGTAACTTGCGTCTGTAATGTAGTCATTTTAATTCATTGTTCATTAACGATTCGAGCTGCTGCTGTCGTATACTGTCTGCACTAGTCGGGGTGTCGGTGTGGATCTATCGCTGCCATTTCATCCACCAGGCGCAGGGTATGTAGGGCCCATGGAATGAGCGCACGCAACTTACAGGTTTCACTCGAGCAAGGGAAGTTTCTTCCCACCCCCTCGTCGTATAGAAGGAAAGGGGGCGGTGGGGAGGCTTTTATTGAACGCGCAAAGCACAAGGGCGCACCATAGTCGGCGGCGTGCGTCAGCGGCTGCCCGCCTGCCTGGAAGAGCTTGAACACCAGCCCGGGGGAGCTCCGCACAGCGGCGAGCACCGAGTGGACTCCGTCCAGGAAAACTGAAAGAAAGCCGGGACTGCAAGGGAGAAATCTCCTGCACATTAAATCTTTACAAGCGCGGTCGCAATCCAAGGCAGACGTCATTATTTCTGGCGACGAAGGGCTGTGAGAACATTTGATTGAATGCGGGGACTCGGCTTCTTTTTTTAATGTATACAAAACCTCGTTTGCAACAAACACAAACAACTTTGGACTGTGTGGGTGCTTCGTGTTCACTGTTATTTCAGGGCTGGTTGCTGCTGGCTCACTTTCATTTGTCAGAGTCTGTTGCAGGCTAATTGTCGTGCTGCTATCTTTAATGTGCGGCGCGATATCTCTGCAAATGAGTAATTTATAAAAATCGGACGAGCTCGTTTGTCCGGGGCGTGTTGGGTGGCAGGATAAATTTGCTAAAGGAAATTAAAGATTAAGAAAACAAAGTGGGGGCAATTAGGAAGTGCTTTTGATACGAACAATTAAGCTGGTGCTTTGTCCGTTTTCAGAACCGCTCTGGCAGGGAAATTGCGAATAAAAATCTGGCACTCCTGCGGGGTTTTGAAGCAGATCTCCTGGAACGCCTTGGCAAGAGCGTAGCTCTTAATTGGGCTGCTTTTTGAACCGTGAACTCGGCAGGGGGAAAAAAAATCAGGTTGGGGAACTCTGCCTCTATGTGCGATAGTGAGAGAAGAGGGTAAAGCAATTCAGAAATGCCCTTACCAGGACCAACCAAGGAGCAGAGAGCGTTGGCATTTTGACACAGGACATAACCCGAATGAATTGTGACCTTCATCTCCGCGATTCGCAAGATCTGAGAGAGTGACTACAAGAATGCTTATCGTTAGCGGAGAGTTTTAATATACCCCCACGAAGTGCATTCCCCGTGAATCCCGCAAATCCCACTTTAGACTGTTGAGACTGTTAAATATATAAAAAAAAACAAGGTACGATTTTAGATTACCAGAGGGGACACGGGTCGTTCTAGTACAGGTACTGGACAATTCGGTGACAGCGGAATTGACATGATGGGATCTTTGTGGAAATGCCGGACATGGTTGCCCTGGAAATTGAACGTCGTACCAGTTATTTTGGTTTTCGTCTGCACTGTTGGAGCACGGGCGGCTGAAGAAGATGCCACTTTCAATGCAGAGGTGATTATTGGTTTAATTTATGTTTATTTGCCCCCCACATAAAAATATTTACACATAGAAGTTCCCAAGTTTAAAAAAGAACTTGTATGTTTACATTCAGTCACATCCTAGAAAGAAGACCCGACTGTTTCTGTACCTGTGTGATTCGCTTTGCTTCAGTTTACATTCATACTGAAATCCGGGATTCGGCGATCACGTGGATTTTAGTTTTTTATTGCTGCTCTTTTCGCTGTTGAAGAAGTTCAAGACAATGATCAGTTTAAGATGTGTTTTCGGTGATTCTGCAAAACGCTGATTTGTGTGTTGTATATTTGGAAAGCGTACTTGTAATGATATTAGTTTCACAAGAAAATAACGCTGCTTTATGTGATGTCGAGATCATATTTCCTGCAAACATCTGTTAGCTGATGCATGATCTATCTCCTTGTTTCCTACTCTTTTTGATTCGTTTCCTGTTGTATTAGTGGATTTTCCGTCTGACTCGTATCTTTTACGTGCATGGTCCAAGACTTTCTTCGCCTCTTGAATGATCCGTCTCACTGCTAAGCTTCCAGTCCGCGGTGGCTGTTCTGATCTCGATTCTGCACTGGATCGTAACAGCTAGCGGTGGAGCTGCCAGTGGTTCTCTGAGCTCAACGGCTCTCCCCAGCCTGACGCGCCAGCCAAAACGCAAGCCTTTGCTGGTTCACTGACACACTGACTCGGCCGCGCCGCTCCATATGTGGGTATGGTTTGTACCCGCGCTCCGACTTTTCCAAGAGAGACGGAGTCTAAGACGCACGACTGTTGGCATAGCCCAACGGCTGCTCCAAGCTTGCTGCCTGTGCCATCCGCCTTTTGTCTTTACCGGGGAGGCGGACAAACGCTGAAACGTGCATGACTTGGTTCTCATTCTGTCAGCTCGTTAAAACAAATGTAAAGGAGTAAAAAAAAGGTGCGAACACCAATGTCTGAGCTCCACCAAGCTGAGTTCTAACGCTTTAAGATTGTTTGAAACAAAGACTTACTGTAAAATAAGCGGCTTCAAACATTTTTTTTTAAATTGAAAAATATAGTTGAAGCGGGACAGGTCAGGGAGAGATTTGGATTCCGGACGCAGGAGTGACGGTCATTTCTCTGTGTAAATCCGTTTTGTTTTTCCTGGAGAATTCGATACGGGATCTCTTTACGATGAAGCCTCGGTCCACAGTCAACCATGTGGATAATGTATCGCCATTGCTTTCACACTGCACTTTGATCGGTACATGGCTGATACTGTACCTAGCCCCAAGGTCATTCCACCATGCAGTTTGAGAAAGACATGTGCTGCGGACAGTGAGGTGAGATCTAGCTCTTTGAATCGGCTGGGTTTGCAGCCATTGCATTGAGATCCACTGCAGTGCTTCAGTGGAACCAGCAGCTTAACTGTAATATTGGCTCTCGCCAATTATCCTTTTTCAGAAGGAAGGAGCCTGGCTGAAGCTAAACTGTGCTATGGTGGAGACTGGAACAGAGGCAGTAGGCTACAAGAAGTTCTCCGGTCTAGTGTATGGCAAACCCATGACTTCTAACAACTACATTCAAATACAAGCCCAAGGAGCAACTGTTTCAAAAGGAAGATCAATGTTCCATAAATGTAAAACGCACATCTCACACAGCAGATTGATAGATTGCTTACCTATACACTTGTGTATTTTTGTATGTGTGTTACAACAGGTGAGGCCCCTCTTCAATAGTTGTCAGGTCTCAGGACATATTGGGAGAACAGGAGAGAGTGTAGCTGAAAGCAGGCATTCTCACGCCTTGTCTTGGGCGCCCACACACCCACTGGTTTTCATTCCAGCCGAGCTGAATTACCTACTTGAAGTCTTGAGTGGAGTAGCATGGTGCTTGAGTGGAATATTTTCTTTTTTCCTGTCTTTTGAACTGCAGCCCTGACACCAACATGCGTTGGGGGTAGAAAATGGTCAAACAGTTCACATTAGTCCTCTTAGCAAGTTAATTAAGGGCTGAGTTGGGGACCCGAGAGTTTGGCTGGAAAAAAGCCAGCAGGTGTGGCTGTGGGCCTCCAGCATGAGGAGTGGAAAACCCTTGTACCACACGTCCAGTGTGCTCCCCATACCTTTGGTGGAATCTGATCTGGTTTCGGACCTCCTGGAGATGAAGGGTAATGCTATACACAGGGGGATTTCAGCAGGAGGAATACAGCTCTTGATACTAATTCCTGGCAGCACACCAGCAAATCAGGTGGCCAGGCTTGGGCTGTAAATAGATGATCCAGTTAACACTATGATGGGGGAAGGGGTCTCTCGGTCTCCAGCTTCTCTCTCTCTCCAGCTGGCAGAAGAAGGTTGAGCATTTTGTCCAAGTCGCGCCAAGTTAAAAACGGTTGTTGTCTGTAGACCTTTAAGTTACTGCAGTCAAGCCAAGGCAAAAGCTAACAAGAACACATCTTTGGGCAATAACAATGCATCTCTGTGTGTGTTATGATTTGTCCCCAATAACGTTGCGCTTAGACCACTGGTTTAGTTGTAAATTTCCCACACAGGTTGATGCTTTTAATTTTGACCAGCCTCTCCGACACTGAGCTAGAGCTCTACAAATGAGCTGGCAAAAGCTATGAAGACATCAGAAGGAGCAGGAGGTTTATGATGTTAAATTCTTGGAAAATCTGTGATTACTCGGCACACATATTTGCGTGATGTGAATTATGTTAGATGTTAGGAAAAGTAACTTTTTATTGTGTACCGAGGCTGCAAATGCCTCTTTTGTGAGAGACAGAGAAGGGGGCAGGCGTGGTGGCCGTCATTCCTCTGAAAACGACGAAAATGCAAAACACAGATTTCATTTTTAGTGAGGAGATAATGATAGGGGAGACAGATTTTGGAAAAGTAATTTTTGCCAGGCAGGACAAATCCTCGTAATAATTTTCCATCCCTTTCTGCGCACGCCCTGGCATAGCCTAAAAGGCGGATGAAAGGATGGCGCGGGAGTCTCCTGAGGAGGTATTTTTGGAGGAATGAGCTCGGCCCTTTGGGGGGGGCTCATCTGGACAGAGGAAGTGAGTAAGCTGCTGCTGGCAGTGCCCAGCCAGGTGGTGTGGCAGGATAAAAAACCTCCATGTGGGCTTGTCTCTTTCCTGGCACTGGAACGTTTCGGAAGGCAGCGGCTGGCCTGTGGTCTGCACCCTACTATTGGCGCCCCAAGGGAAAGAACAATGGGCAGTGCCAGCTGCCAACATGCCCATTTTCTGTACCTTCTCCCTCCATCATGAGCCAAAAAGCAGCCCGTACCTTGCAGTACAGAGGCGTTGCTGTGCTGCTGCCCTAACCTTCTCATCCGCAAAAAAGACCGGTTTAATTACAGAAAGCAGGCTTTTCCGATTCGTCTTGCGTATCAGGTCATTTGGATGCGTATGACTCGTTTCGGGCCATCACTAGCCTGTCCTCCTTTGACTCATCTACACATGCCTACTCGCACAAGCCGAAGAAGAGGAAATTACAGGTCTGTGGTTGAGCCTTGGGTGTAATGAGAAATGGCAAAATAGTTCGGCTGGAGGATGCTGCACAGAACTATTTATTTTTCTTCTCTGTCGGAGAAGCGTGTGTCACCGGACCTGCTCAGAGCAGCGCAGCCCACATGTTGCAGATGATGCTTCCTGTCAGTCTCGCGCTGTCAGATGATTTGTCTTCAGCCTTGGACACCAGCCCCTTTACGCAATTCATCTGAACGACGGCCATCACTCAAAAGACTGGATATCCCCTCCCAGCCACAGCCTTTGAAATTCAATAGTCTGAACAAAGCAGTTGCCTCACCACCTCTGCTTTGTGTTTCATCCCTGATTTCGGATTGAGCTGAATACCTACAAGCTCTCCGGAAGTGTCCGCCCAAACACGACGACCACAACCGACCAAACAAAAGGTTTTTTTCAGCAGGTTCCATGAGCTTAATTTTCGTGTTGTGAAACAACTTCTCTTTTTTCTGGTTTGTGAGGGCCCGTAACCATGATGAAGTTGTTGTGCTCTACATCTCTTCATGTTTCCTGTTGTATTTCAATGATTGAAGCAGTGGCTCCTTGCCCTTTTTGAAGAATAACGGCCTAACTGAATTATTGTGTTCTTTTACTTCTTGACTGTAATCAGATTTGGTTCAATTGAAAAGAAAAAAAGATCAAATCCGCTCCAGTGCACCCTCATCTTCTGAGACGGTTTGCTGGCTGAGTAACTCTATATTTTCTGAGTTAGGTTCTGTCCCCTGTGTGATCAGATTCCCAGTATGAAGCTTCTTCGGTGATCAGACAATGCAAACACAAGACCGCAGCCCCTGCAGTCTGTGGTTACAGTGCAGAAGAGGGCTGGCAGGACTTGAGGGTGGGTGAGTGGGAGGGGTATCACAGAAGCTTCCTCTCATCTTGAGGTGAACGTCAGAGTGTGGAGGATGTCAGTCTCTTGTCCTTGACAGAAAAAGGAATTAGCTGACCATGTGTGGATATCGTCTCAAAGGAAATAAAGGAGGGTCCACGCATTACAAATTACGAGGCACTTCATGAGTCAGCGTGCAGCTAGTTTCATCATAACCACCAAACCAAGACTGGCTAAAATAAACAGTGCCTGTGAAATTTGCTTCCTTTGTGCTGCACGACCATACCAAGAACACATGATGACGGAGCTGGGAACATTACACACTGGCTCTGCCATGAAATCCCCTGTCAGAAGAACTGAATCTGTGAGCTTTCCAGTCCACTGGCTTGCAGCATATTGCTGCAGAATCACACACTTCTCCAAAGAGAAAGGTACTTCTGAAAGCCCGGTGTGCCAGTCAGCCCGGCTTAAGAAAGAGCTACAGGCAGAAAATGTTTTATGTGTGTCATATAAGGTTAGTTAGAGGCAACTTTACTAATGGAGAGTGATGTGAACTTCCAGAGGCAAAGTAACGAAAAGCTAAAATCCAATACTTTCCCAGTTTTATTCAGTATCCAAGGATATGTTGAGCGCTATATCATAATTTGCTTTCATATTGGTACTAGCAAATTCTTTTTTAGTGTTTATTCTGTTTGTTTTGTTTGCTTAATCTCACTCTGGAATTCATTTTTTTATAAGCTAACAATCTCTGTGGCCTAGAGTGCTTTTCTTCCAAGTGCTGTCACTCCAGATAGAGAATTTTTCTGAGTTGAAATGCAGTTCACAGCAAACTGGAATTGAGGGCATTGCAGGTAAGAAATGGTAGAGTTTAGTTCTGTGGGCCTTACCACTCCAGTTTTGTTCTCATTGAGGTACAGTAATGATTATTACACAGCCTTTCAGTTGCTAAATCAACCCACCCTTCCACCCCACTGCTGTCTTGGAGTTGGGAATGATATCTACCTTCATCTGCTCTCTTGCCTGTTTCCTTAGTTCTAGCTGTTAACCTCTGGTGTGCCAAGCTTTATTCCCTCAGTCGCACAGGCCACAAAAGCAGGGCTATCTCTTCTCTGTGGTGGCTAGGCAACAAGACTGTCCAGAGCTGGAGAGAAACAGGATCAGCTGTGTGCATGTGATTGGTAAATGGGACAGCTGTTTTGTTTCCCTGGTCCCTGAACAAGAGATAAACAGAAAGGAGGCATTTAGGGCTCCAGGGCTCCCAGGCAGGGGAGGAGCAACAATGAGCTGACTGAGAGAGTGGAGAAGGGCTGAAAGGAAGGGGGAGGGTTTCTAATAGTCAGAAAAACACAGTACAGACTGTAGCATTTCCTGAATGTTAACCCGTTCTGTACCAGTGTCTAATTGCTCATCCTTACAATTCCAGAATCTGAGAGATTCTGCATTCCAATGCACGCTCTCCAGTTTTAATTATGCAGCACCAGGGACACAGAGCTGCTACAGCAGAGAGATAATGTGATCTGCATTAACTTTCAAGAGCGCTTGTCTCCTTTACTATCTCACAAAAGTATGTCTTATTGCATGAGTCCTTGTGTTGTCTGTAGCAACATATCTGGGGTTTGACCAAACCTAGGGATGTTGTAATACATTGAGTTGCCAGGACACAGTTGATAGCATCTAAATGCAGCTGGTGATTTCTGCTTTCTTCACATGGATGTGAAGCATGTTGTGATTCTGAGGCGTGGCAGTGGTCCTGGAGTGTGGCATTAATTTAAAATCCGATAATATTGTTAATTGTATCAGCAACATAAAAAGCAGAGCATTGGAAATGGATATGAATGCCTAGAGCATTAGGGCCTAAAATTGCAAAGCCAAAATTAAGATTTTTATTGTTTCCTGGCTTCCTTGTGAGTTTTAGCAGGTCCTCTTGTTCAGAGGAACAGATTCTCAAACTAGTCATTCCTCAGCTATTGCTGCCTTGGCTGATACTACACTGAACTGAGACGCGTTTTACAGAACTCTCTTAGTTGCTTCAGTTGTCCAGCTTCAGTGCTGCCATTAAATTTGAAATCTTTTGCAGGAGCTCTTGGCACTAGCAAAGGAGAATTTTGAACTCACAGTCTCCTCTTTCTGTGTGTTCCAGAGAACTACAGCTGGAAAGGGATTTAAAAAAAAAAACTAAATCTGAGGAGTGGCTGGGTTATTTTGTTTTCTGTTATAATAAAATTCTGTTATCTGCTCATGGCAGATATGACAGTCATTTTTCAAGTATTGCTGAGATACTGTTGCTGAGATGTATTTTAAACTGGCTCTGCTGCAGGTAGTTTTTGTAAGAAGCATGGCGTTTCATGTTATACAACACTGTACATAGTTCTGATTTGCGGCTTTTATACCTTTTCCATCTGGAAGTGAACACACCTAATCCTTTCTTCGTTGTAAAAGAAACAGTGTCTTATCATAGCCCATGGTGTGCAATTATGCATGTACAGTATTTCTCCAGTTACAACACAAGCATTCACTCTACAGCGACTGAGATGGAGGAGAGAAAGTGCCATACCTAAGTGTTTTACTGTTTTCAGTGTTTTTAGAAAAAACAAGTTGCTCTATGTTTCTGAATTTTCCGATTAAGCTGACCTCCATCAGAATCCTCAGAAATACAAACCCTTTTAAGTCTCTTGAGCCACTGGTTTATAAAGGGGTTTTTCTATGTATTAAAAGCATGCTGAACATTAGAAGACATCTTTCTGTGATAAATGGATCGCCCAGCTGCTCAGCAGTGTGTGAGATCTCTGTGCTGTGTCCTGCAGACAACCCTCCCTGTTAATCACATAGCTGCTAATGGAATTGAACTTTCCTTGGGGGACCATGACCAGCAGGCTAATATAAGGTCAGGGGTCAGAGGTCACAAGAGCACCTTCCCATGTTCTTGCTACAGTATTGTAGTAACTTCACACCAACTCCACGATTGATTTCATAATGGAGTTCTGCTACACATCTGCTGCCTTTTGAAAAAGAGATTGAAAACTACACTTCAGCTAAAAACCTAAAAACAAATATTCATATTAATCCGAATGGCTCCTGAGCCATTTTTAAAAGAACATACCACCATATTTTAAAGTATTATTTATTGAAATGGGACAGTTTTATCCCTTTAAATTTACATTTAAAACCATGTGTTGTGAAACAAAACCAGAAAAAAATTAGTTTTTATATAGCAGCTGTGATTATCTGTCCAACAAAATTATAATGCTACCGTTCTGTCCCTAGGTCAGTGAACCACACCCAGAGGTAGCCCACATGAGTTCCTCCAGTCCGTTCCACAAAAGGACGAGGATAATGGTCTTAAATATTTAATTGGCACTTAGAGCAATTAAATCATTAATTTCTATGGGAATTAAATCCCTTCGTGGTTTGCAGAGGAAGCACCATTATTTATTCCTCTTTCCCAGCTCCTTGTCTAAAACCCAATCTTGTTCTGCGGCCTGTAATTGAATCTAATTGCTCTGTTTCTTGCTCTGTCTCTCTTTAGTCTATAATCTTGATTAATAATCTTTGCTGCTCGCAGTCTCTCATGGTCCCAGCCTGATGTCTGCACTAATAGCAATGTTGCTCTCATTTTCCTTCTGACTGGTATTAGATTTCCCTCTGCCTCTCTTGCAGTCCTGGCTGCGGATGTATGGATATCTTCCCCAGGCCAGCAGAGAGATGTCCACAATGAGGTCAGCGCAGATCTTCTCCAACGCGGTTGCTGACATGCAGCGATTCTACGGCCTGACTGTCAGTGGAGTGCTGGACCAGGAAACACAAAAGTGAGTGACTTTTCTTGCATTATCATAGACATGTCTGCAATAAATGTGAGTGCTCTTATATTATGTATGTATTATGTTTGGAAGCTTTTGAATTTTAAATGTCAATGCTAGGAAAAATCCCCCTAATTTATTGCATCGTCTTATTCTGCTTTCTGTGAGCCAAAGAGATACTTTGGAACAAAGAGAAGGAATCGATCTGCTAAGAAAGGCAGTAAGTGCAGTCAGTCTTCGGGGAATGTGGAAGAGTGTTTGTATTAAATCTACTTCCTCAGCAGGCCAAAGTGGCTGTCTCACCTCCGGCCCAGTTATGACTGAGAAGCCTGCCCCATGGGCACAATGGAACTAACACTGATGCTGTCTCTATCCCCCCCCAGTGCTATGAAGAGGCCTCGATGTGGCGTCCCTGATAAATTCGGAGGGCTAATCAAAACGAACGTCCGCAGGAAACGCTATGCCCTGACTGGCCACAAGTGGAGCAAGAGCCATCTAACCTACAGGTAACAGGAGGGACAGGACAGGCAAAATACTGTACTCCTGTGGCAGCTGAAAAGAGAAAAGACCCTGACCCTGATTTGCCTGAAGCTGGACTGTGTGTGAAGTGCACATTAACATGACTAGGTTAAACAGAAGTTCAACAGAAAGAATAAACAGCAGCTGAAACAAAGCAGATGCAGACATTATAAGAATAGTTGACAATGAGAGGAAGCCACTCGGTCTAGATCCTTTAGAGAACAGGAATCTCATGCAGCCAATTCTTGAAAGAATCCATGGTACCAGCTTCTACCACATAGCTGAATAGCTTGTTCCACACTCCCACAACCCTTTGCATAAAGAAGGGCCTCCTGTTCTCAATCACAAATCTTCTTCTCTTTAGCACTCCTATATCTGCCTTGGTGTTATGTTTCACACAGGCCATTAAAAAATAGATGGTCATGCAAAAGACTTAATGAATACAGTCCACGTAGGGTCAAGTGCTTTGGTTAAAGGTGCATTCAAGTGAATGATAATTGATTAATTAGTTTAATATGGTTTACACGCCTAACTCTCGCCCCGTGTTTCCTCAGCATCCAGAACTACACGCCGAAGATTGGCGAGTTTGAATCATATCAGGCCATCAGGAAAGCCTTCCAGGTGTGGGAGAGCGTGACGCCCCTGCGCTTCGAGGAGATACCGTACCACGAGGTCAAGTACGGCCGCCGCAAGGAGGCCGACATCATGATCTTCTTCGCCTCGGGTTTCCACGGCGACAGCTCCCCCTTTGACGGCGAGGGGGGGTTCCTCGCCCACGCCTACTTCCCCGGGCCCGGCATGGGCGGGGACACGCACTTCGACTCGGACGAGCCCTGGACCATCGGGAACGCCAACCTGAACGGTGAGGGGGGGGGTCTTTGCACCTCAGAGGTATTCTCTACTTTGGGGGTGGAGGGATACCCAATGCATTGCAATTCTACTTCGCCACAGCAGCTCAGACAAGAAAGCACAGCAGTGTTCTTGACATAAATACATCACCCAACCTTTTCTATCCTGGCACACTGGCACGTTTTCGGGAAATCTTCTCTTCCATCCCAACAGAATAATGGGTCGTTAAGGCTTATGGCCTTCTTACAGTATGTACTCATTAAAAGCTCCACGAATTAGCCTCTTACCGACTCTCTCAGGCGCCTGTGTCTGTACAGTGTTACAGCACAATCATAACACAGCTAGATTTGCATCATTATAAACTGTATATTTTTTAATAATGCACAAACTACATGCAAGTGATCTCCCATATCCTCTGAAACCAACCATTAAATTTGTTTTCACAGCAGTAAAACAATTTAAAAAAAAAAACTGACTGAAGCTTTTTCTGGAACTGGGGACCAGTCCTGTCATTTCCTGAGTTAAAGCAGAGACAGATGATTTAGGCGGTTTTCTATATTGTTGGATAACTCAAGGGGATTGAGGGAGAAAGGTGGTATTCTGGACCACTTGGGAGAACAAGAGTTCATTTTTTGTGTGGTGTGGGTGGACTTCTGTGTGTGGTGTGGACTTCTTATTTGGAGGTTTTATTTTCCTTACTGTGTCTTATATTCCTTTTAAATACAGATTTATTCACTGTATTTGAAAGGAATAGGTGTCCGTAGAGGTGCAATAAAGGTACTGCTTGTTGTTGTCAAACCTCATCAAACCTGTACTGGAAAGCTTGAATATCTCCTCAGCACTCTGTGGGAAACCGTCAGGTCAATCGGCAAGGGATTGGATGGGGAGGGATCTAGTTTTCTTTGAAGAGCAACAGGCTGTTCCAAAATATCTGTCTGATACTAGACCTTTGGGACACGTGGCTTTCCATTTGGAAGAAACCCCAAGTGGCTGCCTCGTGGTCACGGAAATTAAAAACCAAACAAGTTCACTTGGCTCATTTTGATCATCCGGTTGTTGGAAACACGTGACCCTAAACTCACCAAGCTGTTGTCAGTATGATCCCGGTGAAATGGACTCCACAGCGGGCCACAGCCAGCCTCACGCTTGCTTTGAGCACTTATTGATCCAATTCTTTCTCGACATTTCTCAAAATGTTGTTGTTAAGAGGAAACAACGAAAGGCAATCCAGATTAGGAAAGTCATGAGGCCTGCAAAGCTGTCTGGCCTGTTTACAATTTCACCCAGAGAGGGAGAAAGTACAGGGCCCTCCTCCCTCCTCAATATATGACAATAAGTGTAGAAATGGAGCTCTGGCTTATTGTACGGTATACTGTATATAAATCCTGATTTGGGTCGAGTCCCTTTCCTAAGACTGTAGATGTTTGAAGTCTGTGAACCATATGTTTATCACATTGCGTCTCAATGCCTCCTTTCTTCCCCCTGAGACTTATTTTTAGGGACGGATCCCATAAGCGTTTACAGTGCTGCAAACAAAGAACTTTAATCTTGTGCATCTGAATTTCCTTTGTTCACCTTGGGGGCAGCTGCAATTTCATCTTATTAACCTTTTCGAAGCCCAGCTTTCAAGCCAAATGCAACAAAACAACAAGAAGTGACGTTTTCTATGAATCAAATAATTTTTATGCTCAAAATAAATGTTGTGTTCAAATCATGTTTTCATGTGATTTTGAATTTAGAGACAGGAAAAGGGACTAGGCTAAAGATCTACCTTGGGCTGCAGATTTTGAAGTGAGTGATTGTTTTTCTACTTGACTCAAATCAAGTTAAGCAACACTGTTGTCCAGTAATTGCCGGTTGAAGCTGTAAGTCTGAGACCCCACATTATTTAATCAGAAGGTTTTTTGGAGCAGGTTTGTAATTGTGTTTAATACAGTGCATTTGCTTTCTGAATCTGCACACAGTTGTAGCATATGCTGATACACTGTGCCAAAGTCGGTATGTTCTTCTGTTCCTGGGAAAGTACTGAGGAGTGCTGCTTCTTGGTTTTTGTGAGCAGCTGTCCAAATGAATAACTTTTCAAGCTTTTTTTTACATTTACTGAACATGGAAAAATCATCACTGAAAATGTGTGGCTAGAATTACAGACATTTTTTCCACGCATTAAAATTGTTTCAAAGAAGTGAAAACTGTACTACATACCAACCCGTCGGTTATGCACAGTGATATTTTAAAAGCCATATTAAAAAGTGGAACTGATGCTGAAGTTATGAAGCTTTTTCATCTTTAAAGATGCTGACTGTACTGTTTGAGTATTGAAAAAGACAGGTGTAAACCATTTTTATTTAGGCAGCACTCTCAGGTGATTGGTGCAACAGAAGAGCAGAAACAAGAAGGAACTGTTTCTACATTTTGAGTGGTTATTTCCAACTTAACAATAACAAGATGAGCTGCATACAAAGTGGAAAGGGAGCCAGGTAAAATCTGTACATGGGGGAGTGTGATGTCCTCAGAGTTTGCGCAGATACAGTATGTTTTTGAAGAATTGATTTCGAAGGAGGATGTTTGGAGGGTCGTTGTCAGTCACCAGCTGCTCGGTGTCTTGCCTGTCAGTGATGAATCAGGGCAGGCCACATGCTTGAGAGATTATTCCTTCTCTCAGCTTCCATATCTACCGTACAGAATTCCATTCTGGGAAATACAATCAATGTCGTTCCCCTCCCACCAGCTTCCGTCTGTGATCCCCATCCATCCAGATCTCTGTAGAGCGGACAAACACGCTGGGCTCAGAGGGAGGAAAGGGCATCACAGGGGGTCAGTGCACGTAAACAAACCCTACTGTACTGTTTCTTCCTGTGCACAGTCTCAGAAGAGGGAGTGCTCAATGAGTAAGGCTTTTAAGAAAAAGAGAAGCTTTGATTATATACCGGTGCTTGGCAGCATTAGAAGAAAATAGAAGTAAAGTCCTCGTTTTTGTTAAAAAACTGCAGCTGTTTTGCCCTTCTGCCATACTTACCAGCACAATAAAAAAACAGGTTTAACCTATATATGAAGTCAAGAGTTACAGTGTGGTAAATGTACCTGGTTCTTTAACTGTGTAATCCAGCCAGGCGTCCAGGGGGCTGGCTGGCTGCCTGATAAGGTGAGGTCACCACAGTCTTCCACAAGGATGGAAACTCAACACGTTCTGAGTGTTCAGACCTGCAAACTTGCGGTTACATCATTGCTTCTGCATTGTATCATGCTTCTCCACTTGATCCCCATAAAAGCCACAGAATTTTATAACAAAGTCCTGATCCCCGTTCCTGTTTGTGCCTTTCCTTTTTGGGGCTGACTCCGTTCCAATTCCAAACCAGTTCCATTTTGGGGGTCTCGTAGTCACTGCGCTGCTCTGCCTCCCCTTCTCTGTGATGCATGATGGGAGTCTTCCCTTCTCGTCGTTCTTCCAGGCAACGATCTGTTCTTGGTGGCTGTCCATGAGCTTGGCCACGCGTTGGGGCTGGAGCACTCCAACAACCCCCTGGCCATCATGGCCCCCTTCTACCAGTGGATGGACACTGAGAACTTCCAGCTGCCCGAGGATGATCTCCGAGGAGTCCAGCAGATATATGGTAGGCGCTTCTTCCAAGGGAGGAGTAATGTGCTACAGTAGAATGGAATGGGAGTAACACAGAAACAAGCAGTTCTGTGTTCTGTTCTCTGCTTTGTGTCTCATTAAAAGATAGGGAGTAGGCCCACATGTGAATCCTTGTTTTTCAGAGCTTCGGAGACTGGAGCAGAAAGATTCAAGGAATGTGGAAATTAAGGCAGCTTTTGTGCCAGGGGGGTCAAGAATTTTTGAGGGTGTTGCAGAATGTGGAGAAGCATTCTTGCTTTGCGTAGATTTCGACTGAAAGGGGCGCAAGGCGCTTTGATAAAGGCCCTGTTGTTTGGTGAAGTCCATCTTATGGTTTTTACCACATTAACACGGACGAAGATCAAGGCTGTTAACGCTGGTGTTGTTGCAGGTCCCCCAGATGCCAGCCCAACACCCACGAAACCACTGCCCCCTGTCGAACCTCGACAGCCTGCTCATCCGGACCCCAAACCTCCCAACCCCCCCAAAACCCCGCCAGGGGGCAAACCCCACAATCCAGATCCTGGCAAGCCACGGACCACCGACCGCCCCGACCACTACGGCCCCAACATCTGCGACGGGAATTTCGACACCGTCACGGTCCTGCGAGGAGAGATGTTCGTGTTCAAGGTAAAGGAAATTCATCTGTGAACTTCTGTCTTCGTAAGCACATCTGGGTTACTGTTACTGTTTTTTTCTGTTTCTTATTAAATGGTGGTTATCATACTAAAAGACATGTGACAGATTATTGTGTGCTCCCATGTGCCACAGTCAGACAGCTTTGCTCCATTGTAGACACAACAGCTATTGCTTGAAATTAAAAGGCTGCAGATGCTCCAGATTTTGCAGAAGTCCTCTGCAGGTTGAGCAAATAAGGGATTAGGAAAGCACAGCTACTTTGCATTTGTAGGCAGGTGTCAAAGAAAATGGTGTTTCCTTTTTCCCAATGCATTGTGTTGGGGCGTCCTGTTGCCACTGAGAGCATTGTCTTATCTGGCCTTTCTAAAATGAGCTAAGCATGGCTTCCCATCACTTCAAAGACTTCTCATTTTTCTAACACCTTAATGCAATTATCGCCAGCTGGCCTTCATTTCAAGCGGCCCTTTCTAGTTCATGTCGCAAGCCTTCGCACAAGCATATCCTGCATGTTCTGATTAGCGAACGTTTCCCATTTATCTAAATATAATGATCTAAGAATGGTTTTCATTGAATCAGGCTTTGTCATAATCAAAGTGGAAATCTGTGGATATATGGATGTTATGATAGTGTTTGAAGAGGAGCAGGGATAATTTATTTGGCAACGCTTCATCTGAATGTTTCTGTACGATGCCTTCATAGTTCCTTCATAGCTCCTATGCAAGATACTGCAATCACGTGCATAATCCTTTATAGGCACATGCGCAAATGACTTAATGTGTGCATAAGACGCACGACATTGGTTTTAGCGTCACATCATACCATGAGCTATCAATGATGCAGTGCAGCAGTTATGAGGGGATTGTGAAGTCATTGTGCGGCGACATTGAAATGAAACATTAACCTTTATTTGTCCTCTCAGTTCCCCACTCATCTGGGCGCTGGTCAGAATGGATCTGATACAAGCTCCTTTCTGTTTATTCCAGAGTAAACTGTTGGCAGGCACCAAAGGTCAAAGACCTGTGCTTCTCCTACTGCTCCCGAGTGTGATAAAAATATCCATCCATTGTGACTTGCCCTTCTGAGCATTTAGAACATTTTTCTTTGGTTCTTTTCATTTTAAATCGTGCTCTGTGGTTCTGATTAATGTTTGCTTTATCTTATAACGCTTGGTTTTTAACCATGAAAGCATTACTGATTCATTGCATATAGTTTTTTCTGCTAACTTCTTACCTGGGGACAAGAAATAGATGAGATGAGCAATAAGCTGAATTTCAGCACTTATCCTACAGCTGAGCAAAGTATGTAAGTCATTTGCATTTTCCAGGTCAGATGCCTTAATAGGCAGTGAGTCTCACCTATATGGACCAAGAACCAACTACCCTCTAAATGTATTTTCAATGTGTAACATACTATTTCACTTCTAAGCTTGCGGAAAAGTCATAAACTGTCCCATTTTGTTTTAATATAGTTGAAAAACAACTGTTGCAAATACGAAAACAGCAACCAGAAATAAGGAGGGGTTTTGTGTTTGTGTTTTGGTATCTTTTCTATGGTCTTATATTCTAATAAAAAGAATGTGGTTCCTTGCAAAACAATCTGGGGATCCAGCTTTTTAATGCAATCCATTTCCAACTGTGCCACGTTGATAAATACAAGAGAGGGGAGGCTACAAGTGGATCATTTAAATTTAGAGGCATTGGCTGAGTGCCTGGTTCTGGTTTCAATATTCCATGGAGCTTAAGTAATATCACAAAGTGGAAGAGGGCCAGAGAATCTGTGTGTGGTGGCAGGCCGGACGACTGTGTCAGCTCTTCTACAGCCCAGAGGTCATCCCAAACCCGGCTTTCGAGGAATATTTTATGGGTCTGTTGTGTCAGTAATCAGTATGCAAAGGCAGAAAAAGATAAATATAGCTGTCATCGTCAACGATATTTCAAAATATATAGTAAATTAACCTTTTGAAGTGTTCAGCACCCTATCTCACATTTGGAAATTTAATATTCCGTGCAGCAATGGAATAAAAAGGCTCGTTTGTGGAGCACAGCCAGTTAAGACATCTCGCAGAGGGAATTGCTTCTGGACAAATGAGAAGACCTGGCAAAACTGAGCAAGGAGATAACGTGCGCGCGTTGCATTTTTTGATTGCATTGGGTTTTGGGGGATTACAAAGGGAAAAACCTATTGTTTGTGAGTGTGATTTTGATTATGTGTGGAGGTGAGGACAAGGTCTTTGGTTTCGGTCAGGAAAGCATTGTTAATGATTTTGCCCATGATGTCATTTCCTGTGAAGTCAACTGCAGTGAATCAGGGGTCCTCAGAAGACACATCTGGCCAGCTGATCCCCAGCCTTGATTAAGGCAGTGGTCATGTCTTTTCCCCGTGCTGTGATCGAATGGAATGGTGTGCCATAGGATAACACGTCTCCTTTTTCTCTTTTGTCCTGCCCAGGGGCGCTGGTTTTGGAGGGTTCGTCGTAACCGGGTGCTGGACAACTACCCCATGCCCATTGGGCACTTCTGGAGGGGACTTCCTGGAGACATTGACGCGGCCTATGAAAGGCATGATGGGAAATTTGTCTTTTTCAAAGGTATTTCCGAAAACGTAGCTTCCTATTTTTTGCTCTTGTTCGTAACTTTGTTTTGTTTTGTGTTTTTAATTCAGAAGTAAAATGGTGATGTTTATATGATACAGCGTGTGTCTGTGGTGGTCCTAGATTGGTGTAATCCCAATTAGTGTGAAATTAACTATATGGATCTGCATTTAAACCTGAGATCAACACTCAAAGGGTTGTAGTTGTATAGAATCAGGTACACAGCCATGTTGCTAAAGCCAATACCTTGACTTCCTGGAAGAAATCCCTACAAGGATCCTCATCTTTGGAAGCATTGCCTTTGATCACTTGAGCAAATAATTATTCTGATCTGATAATTAAAAGCCTAAGTGCATTAAAAATCATATTAGATTGTCACTTTCCTGGGCAAGACTTTTTTGGCATAGGCAAACAAACTATGCGATATTCTATGTGTAATGGGATCTTCAGTCTGATTGCGCCCCCACAGTAATGCAAGCTTTTCAAAGCGTAGATGACCCAAATTAGATTCACTGTTTTTAAAATCCTGAACAAATTAAGCTGGTTCCCTCCTAAACCAAAAGTTTTAGCTGACATTTGTGTATTTAAATTAAGTAAGAGGACCAAAAAAGTTTCTAGCTACTGTTACATTTTATCCAAACGCTTTGTCGTGTTACATTTCAATTTTTCCAGAGCATCCCTGAGCTTTTATCCAGAAACTGAATAATATTTTGCGGTAAACCAAAGCAATCCGATTTCTTCATTAAGCTTCTTTGGCGCATTGCCCCTCCATGAAGTCGACTCTGGATAATAAAGACCCTACAGAAATGGAGTCGTATCTCTTTAAGGCAGCTGGCGTCCCTAGTAGAAAACTTCTCTAGGACAAATGATGTCACTTGCAAAACATTCCAAAATCTGGATATTGGCCATTGGAAAAAAGTTTGGGGGGGGTAGGTAAAAAAAAATCCTGGAAAGAAACATCTGGCAGATGTGAAATTATGGATTGCATCAGCCAGTTGTTTCCAGATGCTGACTGAAAAGGTTTCGGTTCCTAACAAGAATCTGGGGCAGGGGAATGAAAGGGAATAATGTGGGTCTCTCGGCGGTGCCATGCTGTCTCGGTGCAGCGGGATGGAGCAGAACGTCAGCTGGGAATCTCCTGCCGCCGCGTGCAGATTGCGCGGCCGCCACACCGGGACGATCACGCCCTGCATCTCTCTCTCCGACTTCCTCAGCTGCTGCAGCGGAGAAGATGGATATCGCGGGGGATCAAAGCTGCCTGGTGTGCGCCATAAATCCAACATGGTGGGCAGAGTGATGGATGGCTGTGTTTCTGCTTTGTTCTCAGGAAGCAAGTTCTGGCTGTTCCGGGAAGCCAATCTGGAGCCAGGTTATCCCCAGGAGCTGACCGAATATGGACAGGGCATCCCTTATGACAAAATAGAGACAGCCATTTGGTGGGAACCGACAGGATACACTTACTTCTTCAAAGGAGACAGGTAAAATCTTCAGTTGTTGTTATTTGGTCTGGCTTTGGGACATGCATGCTTTTGTTTTGCAGTGAGTGTTTGGATGGCTTGAATTAGAGGCCTAAAGAGACACTCAGTTGCTGAGGAGACTGCGACTTCAGAACCTTTGAGTTTTTTCTTGCTGTGTCCTGAGCTCACCTTGCTGTGTCACAGGTACTGGCGCTTTAACGAACAGTCTCGAGCCGTGGACAAAGACTACCCCAAACCGATCAGTGTGTGGGGCGGGATCCCTCCCTCTCCCAGGGGGTCTTTTCTGAGTGATGATGGAGGTGAGTGAAACTAGGGGAAATGCAGCCAGGAAAATGCCAGTAACCTAACAAAGGGGGAAAAGGAGAATGTGAGAGGGCAGGAAACGTGAGCTTAGAGGAAAGAATTACTTCATCTTTGACAGTTAAGGAGAAATGACTTTTGATTTGATTTTGTTTCCAACCTGGCTGCATTTTGGCTGCATTTTTATGCATGATCTTACTGTATATTCAAGTGACAAATAATTCGTCTTTTCTGTGGCAGGTGTGCATGACTTGAGAGTAGGCATCAGTGTCTGATTTGCACCATGATGTAAAAATTGCTGAGGCTGCCTAAAATGCACCTTCCCTACTCTCTGTTTGTAATAGAAAACTTTCAACACCTTGCTCATAAAAGCATTGCTGCACTACCTTAGTCTTCCTTGTTTAAGGTATCCTTTTTAGCCGGAACTGCCTCATTGTGATTTCATTATTATTTAACAGTTATTTTACTGTTAAATGTTAAATTAAATTTTAACATTAAATAAAACATTAATTTGCAATACTGCCACTGCAAAATGTTGGGTTGCCCCTGCATTTTAGAAAATACTAGAGATGTATGAATCATAGTATGCATGACCACCATTCCCTTTTGAACAGTTTTTAGTTTAGTTCCCAAGCAAATCTGGGGTTTACGTAAGAATGTGAAGAATAAAAATCTGTCTCTTCTTTCCCCCAGCTTATACCTTTTTCTACAAAGGATCTAAGTACTGGAAGTTTGACAATCAGAGAATGAAGATTGAGCCTGGCTATCCTAAATCCATCCTGCGGGACTTCATGGGCTGTCAGGTGGACCTGGACCTCGATAAAGACACCGATACGGACGTGGGGCGCAAGTGGCCCGACGTGAACCAGCCCCCATTCGACCCCGACGCAGGGCGGGATCGCACCAATGACGTAGATTACAAGGACGAGGGGGAGGGTAACGGCGACGTGGATGTGGTGGTGAAAATCGACGAGTACACGCGCACGATGAACATCATCATGGTAACCGTCCCCCTGATCCTGGTGCTGTGCATTCTGGGACTCATTTTCGCCATCATCAAGATGCAGAGGAAAGGAGCGCCCAAGCTGCTGGTCCACTGCAAGCGCTCCCTGCAGGACTGGGTTTGACCTTTCACCTTCAACCCCGCCCTCCTCCCACACATCTCCTAACAAACCCCTTCCCATGGTGCTACCCAATCTGTTGACTGTAGTCTATTTATATCAGAAAGTTTGCACATTGATTTTTTTTTTTGAACAAGGAAATTCTTGGACTTCTGTCATTCTCTTTCAGTTTCCTCCAGCATTCTCTTTGATTCGGGTTTGCCATCTGGTCTTTCATTCAGCTGGTTGAAATGAAAAAAAGACTGGAGTAGACAATGAAGGGATTAAGCCCATCCTCTGAATTGTGATTGCTACAAAATCTTGTGAGCTCTGCAGTGGAAAGCAGCAGCTATACTTAATAGGTTCGGCATAAACAGTATAAAATCTACAGACAGGACAGTTCATGCTAAATTAATTCACCAAATGCCTTTTACAACACATGAAGGTTGCACATTGTCTGGTACTGCAGATTTTGGGAGTGATATTCCTCCTGCCTTCAAACTGTTAGCTTCTCTTCACATGTGACTGTACTGACCAGAAGAAAAGACTTTTCAGTGTGAAATTGCGTGGTTATAGGACTGCTCAGGAAAAGAGTCTTTGTGAAATGCCCTTTCGGCCCAGGTTGAAAATGAATGGGGTTGAGGTTGATTCATCACAAAAGCCCTGACAGGATCCAAAATTGGAAAACAAAATCAAAGCCTCTTTAGTTTTTAAACTTTGGTCACACAAATTACCTCAGAAAAGATTTTTTCTCAGCCCCAGTTCCAGAGCTAAGTCTCTTTCCATGAGAAATGACAGGTAAACACAGCAGGTCTGTACAAAATGGCACCTCCCCGAAGATGAAACCGCACCTGATAAGTGTTCAGGAAGGTGTGAAGGTTTACAGTCTGCGGTTACGGACTAGTGCTGGGCTGCAGGATCCAGGGGCGTGTGATTTGTGTGCAAACTAGAGGTGTGGAGATGGGAGTTGTGTCAGCACGTGTGGGCTGCAAAGGAACAGGAAAGGGTTAATTCCATGTTGGAAATAGAAGGAACAATTGTTTTACCCCTCACAGCTGAAGAAGGCTGAAAAACCAAAACACTGTGTTTCTTCTTACTAATTGTCAGAAATCAGCAAAGGTGATTTACTTGTTCTTTTGTATGCAGACTAGGCTGCTTCAGACTGGCAGTGGGTCTTATTGCTTAAACTGCATATGCCGAGAAGACCTGCTGGAGACCAGGGGAAGCTGAGAAGCCTTAACTCGGGTTTCTACATATCAAGATAATTTTGCTAAGTCTGAATTTGCATAAAATTCAAAGAACATACAGTAAAATCTAGGTTCTTAGAGGTGGGGTAGGATCTGACAAAATGTGGGTTTTTCTCCACAAACATGCTATTCCATTGTGTCTTGCTGTTCCCATCAGGCATCCTTAGTATCCATCCGTTCACGAGGAATAACAACACCACCCAGGACTGAAGTGCACTGAAAAATATTTATCGAGTGTTTCAGTCCTAGTAAATTTGATTTAACCTGCGCGGCTGAGGAGCAGCTCCTGGCCACAGGCCATGGCTAGTGACCAAGGGGCAGCTGCACAGGTGGAGATGGGGGTGGGGGTGGAGAGAGATGCAAAAGAGAGAAGGAGATTATGTGCAGTAGTTATAATCTCTTTTTAAAGTGAGGAAATGACATCAGGAATGATTACAATTTAGGACAGCTGGGGCCAGCTGACCTTGCCATTTTCCCTCCTGAACTGTCGCTGTGAACTCTGTGTGAAGTGCATTTAATCTAAACCGATTCCACAAACTCACTTCTACTGTACACTTGTATTTATGTCACCTCTACACTCTCGCCTGCCTGAAGGAACAGATTCACACATTTTAATTGGCCTATTTTATAAAAGCAAGCATATACAGTATTGCTTAATTCATGACACATTTCATGGAGATATGGGAATATTGCTTTATTGTTTTTTTGTAGACGTTTCATCAAGATTAGAAAAAGCATTGTATGAGCTGTGATCAAGTTCAATGATAAGAAATGTCACAGTACATTAATGTACTGAGCAGTGGAAGTTTACATGTAGACTTCAGTCTGTTATGTAGACTGTGATGCATCAGGAGTCTGTATGGTGAAGAGAAAAGCACCTGATGTCTTTCTGACGGTTTGAAACACAACAGAATACCCAAAGGTCTATACTATGTAGGTGTTTTAATAACTCCTTTATATTTATTGCCAGATTTATTTGACTTTTAAGGTGAATTATAAAGGTTTCAATATAAAGCAAGAAAGACTTGATAAATACTGACCTAAAAGAAGAAAATTGGAGGCCTGTACTTCGCTTTACCAGTGATGGATTTTGTTCGATCCTGTTGCCAGGCAACATCCTATCCTATATTCCTTCTGTCACTCCCAGAGAGGTTTGGAGCAGAGCTAATTACAGATAAAAGCTCCTCTGTTGTCTGGCCACTGATCGTAATGACCGGAGCACTTAAGGATAGGACTGAAGGATATTTGTAAGGAGTTTTGTTTTTTTTCTCCTTTAAATTATAGAAGATCCCGCCATCGTGTTGCATGACAGAGAGTGAAATCATTCTGTATCTGTCTCTAAGGGTAGCTCTACCGGTAAATGGGACCAGGTAGATCTCACGACAGAAATATAAAGCATACTTAAAACTAAGCTTAAATGATTGTCGTTCTTGGAGTGCCTCAAAACATTCACATTGGAAAACTGCAATAAAAGTGAAAATCATGTTTGTAATGAACTCCAGACCTGTAACACTGTAGGTGAGTTTGTGTGTTTGAGACTGTGCATTCCAGGGCATGGTTTGGGCCTGTAGTTAAAAGTACAGGTGTCCCTCAGTGAGCCGTCACCTCCAAGTCAATTCTGTAGTCACGGTGAAGCCTCAGACAGGATAAGAAGAAGCAGGGTGCTCCACCAGCCTCCCCCAGGGGAAAGATTTATCATATTTAGGATTTCCACCCACAAAATACTACATTTTCTGCTCTCCAGTACTTTGTATTCTGTACTGAATAGGGAAAGCGATGAGCCAGTCCACAAGAAAGAGTGTGATGTTTGAGCCTTGAGAATAAGCATTGCGGTTTTTAAGTGCCATCCTTCAGTCTTACAGTCTACTCAGACAGGGTGGTTTGTGTCCTCCCGTGTGGCTTTGTTTTTATCGGAGATTTTAAAAGGCAAGGTTGATACTCTACATTTTAGCTGTAGCTTTTTTTAGGGAGTCTTAAGAGCGCCAAGCTGGCCTGTCAAACCCCGCAGTTTCCATGTGTCATATTGCAAATTGGCCTTTGCTTTGCATGCCAGCAGTGGAATCTGGTTTTATTTTGATAGTCGGCACACTCTCTAAATGTTTACATAAACACCAACTGTAGTCCAGTTTGGCCCTTAGCACTTATCCCTTCTGCCCCTTGAGTGTAACGTGCGATTTGGGAGATTTAAAAGGACTAATTCACAGTGAAGTGTTTGCAGCAGAACGTTCCTCTCTCATCTTCTTAGCTCTATTCTGAGAGGCAGTCATTGATAAAAGTCTCTCAGTTTGCCTCCAAAACAACACTTCCTGTCCAGGACTTCCTGTGCACAGAAAAATGAGTGAGCCAAGTCCCTAAGTACATAACAAAGGTTATGAACGAGAGGAGAATTCGGCCCAACTGGTTTGTCCTGTGCTCTGTATTAATAATCGGTTGGTACACTTAAATTCATGCTGGTATTCTTATCTTTGTTGGATTTCCTATTGACTTATTATAGTTTACTTGCTGTTCTCTGCTCTGCTGAAATTTAACCCCACGCAGGATGAGAAGAGGTCACTACCCTTGTGGGGACATTTTCTCAGATTTTGACCCCGCATCCATAACACATAGCCCTAATTTTCCTCACACACAGATAATCTAGGCTAGAGGCAGAAAACATTTCCATTACTTTCCATTACATTGCAAGACTTAAACTCAAAGAGCAATGTATTTCCTGAGAGGCGGTCTTTCAGAACATCAAATGGTTTGTTGGTAGATAATGGAATCAAGGATCTAACTCAGCCCTTTCTTGAAAGAAGCCAAGGTATTGGCTTCAACAACATGGCTGGGGAGCTTTTTCTGTACACCCATAACCTTCTGGGTAATGAAGTGCCTCCTGTTCTCAGTATTAAGTGCACTTCTGATTCTGCAGTAGTTCCCACTGTATTCTCGCAGAAACAGAAGTAAGGATCAAGGCCTGCCCAGCAGTTTACTGAAGAAGTCAACAACCACCTGAAGCTCGTTTTAAAGCTGAAAGGTGTTTTTTCAGTGTGAAATATGGAGCCAATAGAAGATGCAGTTAATATTTGTGTTGTCTTAACTTTGCCAGTGTCCTTACTCAAAAAGGGTGTCTTGAAGCAACTATTGCCTTATTATTTGAGCCTGAACCAAATACTATCAAATGCAGATGACAGCAGAGTTCAAGAAATTTCTTTCAATCCAGGAAATGAATTGATGCTTCCTGGATTGTACGATATTACTTAAGACCACACACTGTTCTTTAACAATGAAGGAACAATGATGACAGATTAATTTTGTGGTCATTTTGTTTGTCATTTTCATGATGTTTTTTTTACATTGGATTGGATGTTTGACTTTGTTTCATTTTTAAAATGTAAATATGGTCTTTGTTTAAGAAACAATTGTTGTTAGGTATGCTTTTTTATTTTTAATTTTCTTTGTGAATAACATTCCGTTTATGCATTAGTTTCAGACACAGAAGATTTTATACATTTGTTTTATGTGTTCACTTCCTGTTGAGTGTTTAATGATCCATGCTGGACATGTGTAGCAATTACACAATAAAATGCTATAAAACATAAAACTGATGGCTTTGGGTTTCATTATGACAAAATACGAGGATCGATATATCACCTTTTGAATGGAAAAGTCATACAGTTATGCACATTGCACTAATTTTATAATTTATTATGAACAATTAATTACATGTCTAGTTGTAACGCTGAAGCCAAGTTGGTAACCGGTCTGATTTTAGATAAGAGAGGCCTTTTTCAATCTACGACAACAGTCACTGGTGTGAACACAGAAATAATGAATTGGGCTCCAAGAATTCTGGTTCCAACCCAAGACCCTGATAAACAACAGCAGCCTCATAAATATTAGTAGACAGTCCTTCACTCTGCAAGCAACACTCCCACCCTTCTCCCCGAACCCTTCTGATGTGAGCTCGTTAGAACGATGGTTCACTTCCTCTTCAACAGGAAATGGGACATGCATGCTCAGGGAGCTCAGTTTATTTATAGTCACACCCTGTCAAGATAAAGAGAAGGGAAGCAACATTGTCCAGAAAGCAGGTGTCTCGCACAGAACCACTGCTCCTTTGTAAGACCCAGCAACCTGGCTTGGCTGATTACTCTCTCTTATTCTTCTCTAGGACTCCGGGAATTGATTTGCTTGTGCAAGTGATCAATAGTACCGGTCATGCTAGGTGATTCAGGTCTCAATCAGTGCTGCAAGGTTATCTGACATAAACTGGAAATAATAACGAGTTTCAAAAGACAAGAGTTTGTAAATTCGTATCTTTAATACTGTTCTTACCTCCACATGATGTGCTCTATCATGGAAAACATGGGCAAAGGTGTCGATGGTTTTACTCTCTGTAGCTGTGCCTAACCTACCCATCATGAGTAGTAAAAAATTAAAACACTGTGCCATCAGAGAAGGAACAAAAAAAGTGCAGGTTTAATAAGGGAAACCAAACCCCCAAAAATATGCAAACAGAAAAACAACAGAACAGGATAAAACACAGCAATAGACTACAGCACCACCAAGCCCAGGTTACATACTATAAACCCCCACCCCTGGTCTTCCTGATGAACAGGTGAACCTCCATTTGAAGGGGGGGTGTTGCACAGGCTCTGTAACCTCATACAAGATGGTGGAACAGACAGGCAGAAGACAACATAGTGGAACCACAACAGGTAATGCAACAATACATAAATAACATAGCAATAGATACTTTAAAATGTAATAATATACTAATGTCCTATGACAGACCACAAAGACATAGACAGCGATTTGTAGCCAAACATTTATGTTCTTGTTGACATGTTGCGTATCATTAGCTAAGAGTCTGGGTCTGTATTCATCAGCTGAGTGCATCACCATCCCCTTCCATTTCAGCTCCTTCCATTAAGATTATGGAAGCTTTTTAGTTAATGTCTTGGTGTGCCTCAGGTTTGCAGATCAATTCCTAGCATGTAGCTTCTCCTGGTGGTACTTCTGGCCCAGTCACATGGAAAGCCTTGCCCTGGTTCAGATCTGTCACATGCACTGATCTCTCCAGCAAAAGCTAATTACTTCCTGGTACAGACAGGGAAAGCTCGGCACCTGCACTTTGTTAAATAAACCGGGTTGCGTACTTACTGCCCTTTTCCCCCAGGGACCCATGAAGCTGGTGTGTATTACAAATGTCAATTAAAATGCACCTGTTTAATAAGTGAAGTTCCAAATTAGGATCCTTGAGCTCAGCAGTGGATTTGCCAGCTGTAAAAGGTACTGAGTCTGAGCTATAGTCCGGACTGGGGTGTTACAATATGATGTATCGCCTCATGCTAATCTGTTTCACTGGTATTCTGTCTCACGGTCTCTTGAAATACTTGTAATACTTTTAAAGTGTTTTGTATAAAGTTAGATAAATTAATAAAGAAAAAATGTGAAACCTTGGGAAAAGAATCCCACTGCCATTCACAAATTTAAGTTGCTAACAGAAATGACAAAAATATTTACTATAGGTGGTGCCAAATTTGAGTTTTCAGTAACGGACAGGCACCTTCTCAAAATTCAGCTGCTGCTAACCCAGGTGCCTCTTTATTTTGATGGATTAAGTGTAGTGCTGAATGTATCCATCACTATTAAGCAGTTAAAACCCTTCTCTTGAGATAGGATTCATAATCTGGTCCTCCCGAGAACAGTGAGCGCAGCCATTTAAAATTACAGATGCCTTGAATTGAAGTCAGTGCAGAATTTTAGTGTGTAGTTCAAGGCTGAAAAGACACTGTCCAGGATTGTATATTTTTATCATTTTTCCTTTGCTCTTGGCTGTGTTTCTTCAACCTTGTCACAGTTGGCACACTCATTCCATATCCCAGCTGATGGTAACTGCTTCCCTTTCCAGACTTTCCAGAGTCTTGACTTCCTGGACTTCCTGCACCTGCACTGTGTAACATAAAGGAAGCGTCTTATCTTTCCCCCAGGAACTGTGAAGCTGGCTTGCCTTACTAATCCCCAGTAATGCCCACCTGTTTATGAGGGGCTGTTGTGTTTTTTTAATCAGTTTAATCACACCTTTAAATCTTAAAACGACTTGTGCGAATGCATTTGAAGAGACCTACTCCACGTTTATTTATTTTTTTGTAAATGTTCAGCTCAAGTCTTAAATGCCCCTCATTCACAGTACTAATCTGAATCCGTTCAATTAGTTGTATGTACCACAGTATTCTGAAGTTGTTAAAAGGGGTGATCTTTCTCCAGCCTGCTTGCTGACCAGCGCAGAGAATGTCTTGAATGTTTAAAACTAACTGAAGATACAGGAGCCCATCCTGGATGGAATGCTTGCCTTCTCAGTATATGAAATGCTAGTACTCATCTTTATAGCTAGATCAAGCAATTAGGGTAAAATAGCTGGCATGGATCGGGACTCATAACTCGTCTGCTGCAGATTCCGGTGACTTAAACGACTATTCAGCGATGCTTCAAGTCTGAGCCTTAAATGACGCAACAGTTTTTAAGACCAACACAGCAAGCCAGCTTGTACAGTACGTGGAGGGCTGTGAGCAGACTCTATCTGCTAAAAGGGCTCAACACAGCGACAGTCTCTTTATTCAGCCCAGGGGAGCTGGACCGCTGATCTCAGCCTCTCGCGTGCATTGAATACATGAGAAAAAAGCAGGTTTAAGAACCAGCTGGCCTCCATGCCTCTGATTTGTGTGTCATGTTTAAAAGTGGAAGGGCCAGCGGAAGAAGGTCCGGGAGGTGGAGAGATCTGGGTCATCCACTTTCCTGAGAGAACTCTTCCATTTCGGCGTGACAGGCCTCTGTGGTCTGTGCGGTCTCTTCCCGTTCCCACAACCTTCCCAGCGTCCTCCACCCGGGCCTGTAGACCCCGGAGTACAGTCACCCCACACCAGCATGGAGCAGCTGTGTGGTGGTCTTGTAACTGCGCTTTGGAAAGGCACAGGGTCACATCAGTGCTGAAGCAGGGGGTTCAGTCTCTACTCGAAGGAGCAGTGCATCACAAGTCACATTCCGTTTCTATTGTACAACAACAAGATAAAGAAGAAGAAGAAGAGGAAGACTGTGGTTGATTGAAAAATATATTTCTTACTATTTTCTACCAGCTCTTCTAATGTTGGTTTGAAAGCATTCATCGATGTATGAGTGAAAATAAATTCCTATATATCATATTTTCTGTGTCCTCACTGAGCATGTGCTTCAACTGCATATCTTGCCAATGATAAACACAGTACAAAAATAAGTAGAAAGTCCATTAAACGCAAATTAGAAACTCTTTCTTTCTTCCACTTTGAGCATGGGAGCATCAAGCTCAGGCTTGTCTTTTTTTAGAGTTCCCTCTTCAACTGAGCATGCCAGGGGCAGGTTTTTGTCTTACTGTGCCGTAATTGCTTCATTAACATATGTTGAAAATCTCATCTTTCCTTTATTAAGTTTTTTTTTTCTCATGCTTCCGTTTTGTCTGTATTTACTTATCAGTCAGCTGTTCATGAAACAGCTCTAGAGGTCATTAATATTGAATCTACAGATTGGTCACACCTTAGCAATAAGGCTCTGGGGGAGGTCTATCTTTAAGATTTTAATACTCAAGACCACTGGGCCTGATCAATAAAACAGGGTTTTCTGCACTCTGTTAATACCGTAGGGATCTGTAGTAATAATGCATGACTCAGAGGGCTCTGTTACTAATACAGAGCCCCAGTAACTCTATTAATAACACAGGTGCCCTGAGAACTCTATTAACAACACACACATGGTCTCAAGGCCTGTGCTAGAAATATTCCTTGTATCACTGACCAAGCTTTGGGGCCTTTTCAACATTAATCTTACTTTAACTGCAGAATAGTATATCACAATTACAGCTTTCACAAAGCATTTTGAAAAAAACTTCAGACAAAGACAAAAGATAAATTAACAAGTAGCCTTTCCATTAACACTAGGTCACAGTAGATCAAATTAAATGCCACTGATCCTTTGATTCAAACTGAGGTTTTATTTTTATGCTTGAAATTGATCCTGTAAGGTTAAAAAAGGCACAGAAGACCCAGGTATGCCTTGCAATAAGAATGAATTACCATTCATTTAAGCATCAACAAAACCGAGAACAACCAAGGGCTGCCATGCTTTGTATGTAAAAACAGTCATACAGAAGGTAGCCTGAAGACCCCTGCTGAAATTTAATGACAGAAGGAACGTGCACAGCAGGACAATCAAACAGCTTATCGGGCTGAGAAACAGAATAAGCTGTACTGTACTATTTGGAAGTCAGGAAGTGTAGCTAAGATAGTATAGCAGTAACAATTTAAGTTTAAGTTAAAATAAAGTTGAACTTAAGATTTAATTTAACAAGTGAGACCGAGAATGCAAACAGGCTTATCATCTACATGCACTGTAATTCCATTCTTTTCTGGCTCTATAGCACTGCCTCCCCATCCTGAAGACGGGGAATTTGAATAAGTGGAATTCCTAATGTCTCATAATGGTACTTCTCTAAAGACAAATGTAAAGTAATTCTCTTCCTAGGGGAAGCTCTGGTGTAAGAGCTTACTGGGCAGGCAGAAAGACCATGGG